AAAAACATTTTAAAAAAAAAAATTGTTTTCCCCCCCCCCCCCCCTCTTTGAGATTGGTGTCACTTGGTAGGTCCACACTCCCGCACCCCTAGCTACGCCAATATTAGATTATAATAATACATTATGTGTACATAATAAAACTGACATTTTTATACTGTCGCATTAAAGAAATATATATTTTTTAAAAATTAAAGGTAAATTATTTTCTCCTTCCTCCTGCGATAAATGTGAACATAACAGCATTTTATTCTTTCAACTATTAAATTTAAATTGGTTAGGTCTTTCAGGATTGGAATTCGTAATACCGAGAAATCTCAGATTTTGACAAAGCCTTACCAACTATTTGATTATTATTATTGTTACGCACTGTTGTCTACGGGGAGAAACTTTTCTTTGCCTTTAGAAATAACCTAACAACTGAGTCATTGCAGTTTTCTATGAAATTTTTGGTGAACATGACAGAAAAGAGGTAAAAAAGCCAAGACTAAAGAAAAGAACGACACGGACTAGTGTTTTTTTGTTGTTGTTTTTTTTCGCTAACTGTGAGGAAGTGGCGTATGGAGCTGATCTGACGGATAGCGGTGTACGCAGAGCGACATATATGAGAAATATGATCATTCAGAGACATGTTGTCCGAAGGAATGTAACCAAGATCCCTAGCAGAGGATTTGAATTCTATATCGAGCTACCTACTTGAAACAAGGTGAGGAGAACTGAGTTAGAGGATGATTCATGATTGTGAATGAGGAGTGCTTTCGCTTTGTCATCGATTAGCTTAAACTTGCTGAGAGTCGTCGATGACTTGACATCACCAATGCATTCCTGCAATATTTGGATAGCTGAGTGGACAAGAGAAAGACGGGCATGCTTGTATAGCTGCATGTCATCTGCGAATGACTGGCTCTCAGCATCATGTCCCCCAAGCAGGAGGACCCATATTTTTAAATGAATCTAGATGATAAAATGTAAAATTAGTTACATGTCTATAGTTTTTACAATTATTTTGATCATGACTATGCATCAAAAGTAATGGTTTGATGACAGCTGCTTTACAAAGAGAGGGAACAATGCCAGAAGACAAACTATTATTGATTATATGGGTAACCATTGGGAGCAATTTATCAAACGACTCCACCAGCAGTGGAGTGTGAATGGGGTGGAGAGAATATGACGTAGGTTTAGATTTTAGAATAATACGTTTGGCGTCTTGCTCTGAAACAAGTGTAAAAACATGGAAGTGTGAACTAAAACCGGAAATGGGAGGCAGGTCAAGGGGAATTCGTCAAGATGATCCCGTGTCAATGTGTTTGGATCCCTGAGAGTCTGTTATGCCTGAATGCTTATCGGAGTATAAGCGTAGGGATACTTAAGGGAAAGGGTGTAGTACGGTAGTTAGTGCAGGCGGGCAATTAGTCAGTAGAGCAAGGGAGAGCGAGTGGGGTAGGACGCTGACTGTGTCAGAGTTAAGTTTATTTTTAGTTGGTGTTAGTAGTAGTGGTAGTAAATAGTAGTGTTGTGATACATGTAGTAAATGTGGTTCTTTGGCTAAGCTTGTTAGCAGAGCCTATATTACTTATGGGAGATTACTTAGATTAAATTGTAGTACATATACAAATAAAGCTCAGTATTAATATCCGTTGAGAGCTCTTGTGTCAAGTCTTTATATACTCACAGTGTGAGTGTGTATCAGTATAAAATATCCCTAGGCAACGGTCACACACGAACTTATTCGTGACATCCAGCTCAGCCCGAAAATCAGTTACATTTCTTGTTAAAAAATTACCAAAAAATCTGGTTGCTGTAGCAACGAATACACTAAAGGAAGAATATTTACTTTGTAACTTCCTGTGAGATGGCTACAGACATCCAACCACTGCCTGCTGGTTTTACCCTTAACGATCTTGTTGCTAAAAATACAAAGAATTACAACGATAAACAACCTGAGTCACACTCTTCTTTGAAAAAGAATAGATCTGCGTTTATACAATTTATAAATAGGTTAGATATATTCAGTAGCGTAGCTAGAATTGGGGTCACCCGTTGCGGTAAACTCATGGTATCAACCCCCCTCTTTTTTATAATATAAAGTAACTTGGAATAAAGAAGAAGGACATGACATTGTTGTTATTTGGGTTTTCCAAAATTATGCCCGTCCCTTTGTTTCCTATTCCCCTTAATAAAAATGAATACAACAGGTCCCCTCTCCCATTTAGCTAATGATAACATCAAACAAATGTTGCAGTCAAGTGGTTAAAAGAGGTCTGACACTCGGCTGACGTGGTCATTGAGGGATCACGCATTGCACATAATACCAACTGTCATATTACTTCCTGATGACATTGTGCATGTGACTCATGACGGATGGCTTGAAAGGAAACCTTTTACATTCATGCCAGCAACAGAGATGCTGGTAATCACTCTGATAGCGCTGAGGTTTGTATGTGAATGTATGTAACGGAGGCTTTGGAGCTCATTCGCTCAATGCATCACACAATAATCTAATAATTCTATGATAAGTTCTATGATAAGTTATATCATAAATTCTATGAAAATTTCTGTGATACGTTATGTGATAAATTCTGTGATAATTTATGTGGTAGGTTATATACTAAGTTATTTCATAAGTTCTATGATAATTTCTGTTGTATGTTCTATGGTAAGTTGAATGAAAAGTTTTATAAAAAAAAATTATGATAATTTATATGATGAGTTGTATGATAATTTCCATGAAAAGTTTTTTGATAAGTTCTATGATACGCTTTATGATAAGTTATATAAGTTTTATGTTTGTTAGCCGACGAAAAGATTTCAATTTGTGTGTGTGTTTTTTTACTGCTATAGCTTGGACTGAGCTACTGAATCTAGTCAGGAAATTGTCTGCGTTAAATATTTGATGTGAAATCATTTTGAGGAGACTCAAGGATCGTGTGAAAATCACGGTGATGAATAAAAATAATTAGCTAACACATTGATTAATAGATAATCAGATATCACGCTGATGAATAAATAATCATTTATCACAGTGATGAATAGATAATACGATATAACACTTGTGAATAAATAATCAGCCATTACAGTGATGAATGGATAATACGATATAACACTTGTGAATAAAAAATCAGCCATCACAGTGATGAATAGATAAACAGCAATCACAATGAAGTATAAATGAATAGCAACCACAAAGATGAATATATAAACAGCAATCAAAATTATGAATATATAACAATGATGAATAGACAACAGCTGTCACATGGTTGAATATATAATGAGCAACGTTCTCTATAAAATGAACTATAAAGTAATGTCCGAAAAAAAATAATTAAATTTCACAAATACGCATTAAGAAGGCAGGAGTAGCGTTCTGTTGATGACAGTGAATCAAGTACAAACTAAAGCACCTTGAGGGATACCGCAATCAAGTACAGACTAAAGTACATTGAGGGTGACCGCAATCAAGTACAGACTAAAGTACATTGAGGGTGACGGCAATCAAGTACAAACTAAAATACATTGAGGATGACCGCAATCAAGTACAAACTAAAGCACCTTGAGGGATACCGCAATCAAGTACAGACTAAAGTACATTGAGGGTGACCGCAATCAAGTACAGACTAAAGTACATTGAGGGTGACCGCAATCAAATACAAACTAAAGTACATTGAGGGTGACGGCAATCAAGTACAAACTAAAATACATTGAGGGTGACCGCAATCAAGTACAAACTAAAGCACATTGAGGATGACCGCAATCAAGTACAAACTAGAGCACCTTGAGGGATACCGCAATCAAGTACAGACTAAAGTACATTGAGGGTGACGGCAATCAAGTACAGACTAAAGTACATTGAGGGTGACGGCAATCAAGTACAGACTAAAGTACATTGAGGGTGACGGCAATCAAGTACAGACTAAAGTACATTGAGTCTGATGGTTTTAAAAATCCATCACAGCTTTTGTAGAGCTAGAAATCACTACGTGCGTCAAAACATCAAAATGATTGACATAGGACATTCACTTGTGCGCAATCATTGGAAATGTTTTAAACATGCTTTGTTTGTAAAAAATTATATTGCAACGTATATTGTAACATATTATATTGTAAGACATTTTAGTGTAACATTATAATAAAAGCGAATATATTACATATAAATTTATTCGATTTCCGTAAAAAATAGAAAATAGCTTAGATCGTTTTTAATAATCCGATGTATTTAAATCGTTTCGGTTCTTTGGCGTTACGGTCAGCCTTGCTCATATATATATATATATATATATATATATTATATATAATATATTAATATATTACTACAATATAGACAGGATGAAGACATTTCTGAAAAAAAAGTGTTGGAAAAACTACATTTCATAACAAATCATTGTTATTCCTATTCGCGTGTGTTTGTATTTTGGTAAAAAATTACCAAATCATATGAAGTGTAAAATATGTTAGTTTGTGTATGGAAGGGATTACAATCCGTTGGAAGATTTTATTAATTTTGATAAAATCTTGGGAGAGGGGGTTGGTCATTTTGCCCCAAGCGGCCCAAGATACGTCTCAAAATAAAGGAATGAATTTGATAAATAACTACCCTTTTTGGATACACACATATCGGAGGTATGAAATAAAATGTGTACATTTTTACGTGGATAGCAATAAAGAAATTTTAAATTCTATTTTACAAATAAACATATGTTTACCAATTAAGAAAATCAATGGCATTAACAAATCGTGGATACAATTATATTAGTATATCCATGAATATCAAAACCCAATCATTTTACACACTTGAAGATTTAATTTTAAAAATTTGAGATCGGTTAATAGTTTCTTTCAAAAAATTGAAAATATATTTTTGTTTTTACTTTGAGAAAACTAAAGTGGGTGTGTATTTTTGATAAGATTAACAATTCTTAAAGAAAATACTCACACGTCTGTTATAGACGTAAAAAACAGTTGCGAGATTCTTCCTTGGATCAAAGTATTCTTCGTTTTACGATTTTCTGATTGTGTCTTCACAAATTTTAGAGAAAAAAAAAGTTGTAGTTTCAGGGCAAAGAAATGGGGTAAATCTAAATTAATTCTCTATTCATAGAAAATCGTCCCTCAATTAACTTCTTAGTGGAAAAAATATATAATTAATGATATAATAGATTGGGTAATTTAAAACCAAGAAGGGGAAAATATAGTTATCGGTGCTAAAGGGAGTAGGGTAGGCGTATAAAATATATTAGATACATATTTTCAAACCCTAATGATGTTAGAAAAGTATATATCACTACCTAGATACTGCTTTTTAAAGTTAGGAATTGTGAATAATTTTTGCAATAGCAGGTAGAATTATCGCAAAGGACCTACCATTATTATCCCGATAACATCGGGTCATATATTCTGGTATTTAATATTTTTAGCAGCCTTATAATTTAATAGTGTCTAGGCTTTATTTTATGACCTTCTCTCGGGGAGAAGCTACCAAAAAACCCGTCTCCTTTGCCTTGGGAAAGAGACGTAGGGATGTGAGTTTTTGGCTTCGGGTAGTCTGCTCAACCTTACTGTTCGGTCACGCCATGTAGAGGCAAAATTCTTTCGGGAAAGGCCGGAGCGTAACTTTTACCTGCCTCGCAATAGATAACGTCTGACCCTAATCCCAGTCAATCCGCCATATGCAGAACCGTCACGTCCCTCCATACATTTGGCCTTGACCGATGCAGCAGTGAAGAGACGCAGCCCTGAACATGTTCAAAAAGTGGCTGCCCTTGAGACCATTGCTGTGTTTTTAAACATACCATTAAAAGTGTTCACGGACAGCTCTACCACTCTGAGAGAAAGAACTGCTGGGTATGGTGCTCTCATACTTAACCCAGCAAGGGGACCATCAAATGAAAAACTCTCGAGGCCCTCTGGGAATGCAGCATTAAATTTGCGATGTGGAGCTTGAGGCTTTTCACAGGGCCCTAAAGAGAGTTTATCACACGTTGAAAGAGACGGAGCTTGCTAGGCTCGATGTGATCGTGAACTCGGACTCAAGATCTGCTTTACAGATCTTGAGAAAGAGACCAGGCACCACTCACTTTGTTGACGTCATCATCGATGACACGCACAAAATCAGTAAAATAGGAGACAAGGTCACAGTGCATTGGATACAAGGTCATTTGAACGTTAGTGGCAATGAGAAAGCGGGTATTGGCGAAAACCGGGGCGGCCCAGCATCATCAGAAGTACCAACATCTTATTTGGGAATTAAGAACATGCTGGCAGACCATTTGAGGACGAAGTCGTACAGCCTATGGGCAGACAGAACGACCCCCCCCCCCAGAGGCGTCTTTTCAAAACAGCCGACTCCTAGCAAACAAGACCCATGGTGTGGGGTTAGGCCCCAGACAGCAGGACTTAGTGACGCAGATGCGCACCGAGCATTGCCCCATAGGCACAAACTTCTGGTGGCTGAATAACAACAGAGATCCTACCTTCCGGCATTGCAGCCTGGCCCCGGAGACACTAGTGCACCTGTTGACCGAATGTCTATCACTAGATGTCCCGGGGGAAGCCAGGGCGGTTGGAGAGCCATTTGTGAGGAAAATGTTGTATGGCTCAGCTCAACAGATGGAGCTGGTAGCCAATTTACTACCCGGGGTCATAAGAGAGTAATCTCAGACCTTCTCCAGAATATGTATGTTAATTATTATTTAATAATATATATAAGTATTAATATTATAAATCAGAAACACATTTAAAATAACAATTAAAGAACTATTTTAAGCATCTGAAACGATTTGAACGTGACGCTGTTCTTTGTATAATTATTAATTCATAATCGCTATTCTCGTGAAAGCCCAAGCTTCATATTTTTGTATTTGGGGTTTTAATATTGCGAAATTAATTGTAAATTTATGTTATTTGAATTTCTTCAAATGATATCAAATTACCTACATTTTTCAATCAAACTCAAAGTCCACGAATGAAAAAATTATAATAATCTTTTAAGAACTTAATTTAAACAAAAAAATTAAACTTAGTTTTTTTATAATCCTCAAGTAAATAACCGGGCGTGAACAAAACTAATAATGTTCTTTTACCTTTTTTAAAAAAAATTGAATATATATAATTATTTTATTTTTATATTGTTTATATTCCCTAACAAATTTTAGCTTTGATTTTTTTAACATTTGATCAGGTTTACCTATATTTCATTACGAAAAATTTGATTTTATAATTTTATAGAGAAATAAAAACTTAACGTTTAGAAATAGTTTTAATATGCCGGTTAAGCCATTACGTGCAGCCAAATGCCACTCACTAAATCACGGATCATTCATCCGACTAAGAGCAAAACCTTTTGAAGATGCAATTGGTTTATATTGATATCAATATTCAAACCCCAATTATGTGACTGATTAAAATAAATAACGATATTCTTTCAATACACGGAATTATGTTTATATGTTGTTTTTTTTAGAAAATTTAAAACAATGCGTAGTAAAGGAATCCGAGTTTAGAGAATTTTAATATAGTTAATTATATCCTAAACGTACATGTCAAGGACGTGAATAGCTCATCATTTTATTTGCACTTTTTCGATGTTAGATGGAAAGAAAGGGTTAATTAGATTGCTGATAAAATTGTTAGCGCACTACCAGATGGTTAATATATTTGTTACTGCACTACCAGATCTGTTTTTATAGTTGCTAGTGCACTCCATCTGCTGTTCTATTAGTGTACGAGCTGTGTCACGTTATATCAAGTGGCCGATGTACATATTTCACTTCCCATTTGACAAATTCGTTTTTTTTCAGGGACTGATGGGCGTGGATTCAAGCCTGCCATGGATAAAGACAAACTGGTCAAGATTTTTTATTACTTTTGGGTTTGGTCCAGTCTACGTTTGACTTCCGGATTTCAGGTACATTTTTAGCACGTTCTTTACGAGGCAAATGTGTGCTCACTGTCCTTTGTTACCCATTTGTGTACCCTGACTAAATATACCCAGGGTGAACTCCCAAAAATGCTCCTCCCTCACTCACACACACATAACTATTACATAGTAATGTAATAACAAAATAGGAAGTGCCGCCCCTTCCGCTACCCCTAGGTAAGAAACTGGTCCATGCTTCAGTCACACCCCTAGGTAAGAAACTGGTCCATATTTCAGTCACACCCCTAGGTAAGAAAATGATCCATGTTCCAGTCACATCCCTAGGTAAGAAACTAGTCAATGTTTCAGTCACACCCCTAGGTAAGAAACTGGTCCATGTTTCAGTCACACCCCTTGGTAAGAAACTGGTCAATATTCCAGTCACACCCTAGGTAATAAACTAGTCAATGTTTCAGTCAAACCCCTAGGTAAGAAACTGGGCCATGTTCCAGTCACACCCCTAGGTAAAAAACTGGTCCATGTTCCAGTCACACCCTAGGTAATAAACTAGTCAATGTTTCAGTCAAACCCCTAGGTAAGAAACTGGGCCATGTTCCAGTCACACCCCTAGGTAAGAAACTGGTCCATGTTCCAGTCACACCCCTAGGTAAGAAACTCGTCCATGTTCCAGTCACATCCCTAGGTAAGAAACTGGTCTGTGTTTCAGTCACATCCCTAGGTAAGAAACTGGTCCATCTTCCAGTCACACCCCTAGGTAAGAAACTGGTCCATGTTCCAGTCACACCCCTAGGTAAAAAACTGGTCCATGTTCCAGTCACATCCCTAGGTAAGAAACTGGTCAATGTTTCAGTAACAGCCCTAGGTAAGAAACTGGTCAATGTTTCAGTAACAGCCCTAGGTAAGAAACTGGTCCATGTTCCAGTCACATCCCTAGATAAGAAACGTGTATATGTTTCCGTCACAGCCCTATGTAAGAAACTGGTCCGTGCTTCAGTCACACCCTGTCACATGTGGGATGATATTGTCAGGTGTTGTCCAAACTTATGGTCACGAACCAAGTGGTAATAGTGTCGTAGTGACTGTTAAGGCGCCGCTACTCTCTGTGATTTTTCGCTAGTCCATGCGTTGAGAAGGACAACGAAGAAATCACAGAACACTAACGAATGATCAAGCAACTCCTCACCAACAGTTATAGATATGAGATGTATTAATGAATTTAATATAACAAACTCAGTAAAGCTTCTTTACTAACTCTAACACTTGACTTATGGTATTTTACTAGTTCTATCTTTGACTATGTCTAGTACAGTTGCGTCTACCATTTCATAATGATTGTCCACGAATCTCTCTCTCTCTCTCTCCCATGTCACGAAGAGTTCTATCTTACATACCATTCTCTACTCCCTTATAGGTGGTCCAGGAATGCTAGCTATTAACCCCTCACAACCTCATCATTTCCGGTCAATTAAGTACTTCCGTCGTTAACACCAAAATATCATGCGAAGTCTGGAAGACCTGAGACATAACATTTTGTAAAAATTCATCCCGCCAATCTAAAAGATGCGAGAATCTTTTAACCGTACCCCATTCGCCTAACGATTCCCTCCTTAAAATCGCAGCAATTTCCGTCCAACCTATACATTATCTGAAGAACATTGTGGAGTTCTGTTCTTAACCCCCACCCCAGTCATTTGTGACACACCCCTAGGCACGAACCTGGTCCCTGCTTGAAACAAAGTTCAACCTGTTTCGAGACTTAAAATTACGATATTCCCAACTATGTATGTAATATTTAAATATAAATGTGATGTTGCCAGAGATGTAAGACTTGAAATTAGTTCATCTTACCAAAGAGAGATAACGTGACAATGTTACTTTAGTTGCCCTCATTGGTTTATTCTTACCAACCACTCCAAAATTAACCTACATTTGTTCCGCAGGCCGTGTCGCGTAAAGTCTATGCTGACTCATATTGTGTTTATTTTGACATTACTCGACAGATCAGTCCAAGGTATGCCCCAAGGGAAGGAGGAACTCAAATAACTCTGTATGGTAATTCTTGGAAAAATTTTACAAACATCAACGTGACCATATGTGATGACACGTGTGGTAACATCATATACAATCAAAGGTATATTTTATAACATAAGACAATTTTAACATATCGATTATTTTAGTCAAAATTATTTACATTTATGTGTATAAAAAATTCATTACGAGTATCAAAAATTCAATAGGAATATCAAAAATTCATTAGGATTATCAAAAATTCAATAGGAATATCAAAAATTCATTAGGATTATCAAAAATTCATTAGAAGCATCAAAAATTCATTAGGACGTATTCATTTGAAATTTCTTAATGCTCAGTGTTTTTAAATCGTTTGTATTTTAATGTTCATTTGAAATTAAACTATATCTCTTTCATTCTCAAATGTATCATGTTTTTATTCAAAAAAGTGCATCTCCTTCTCATTAAAGCAACATTACCTGTACAGTGAAACCTTTAAACGCCACAAACACTACCAAGTCGTGTAAGGTCACAGTGAGCTGGTCAATATCACAGGATAATCACAACGAGACTACACCATTTCAACTTGAAACAGATCAAACACTGATATTTCTGGTAAAACTTTCAATAACGTATATCATAATTTAAAAAAAAATTCTCTTACTTAACACCCTAGTAGCTAGATTTATTGACGCCCGGGATGGTCCATGACCTAAAGCTCCTCACTCACTAACACCACAAATTAACAAACATAAGCCATACAGACAAGATGAAAATGCCGCTCTCAAATAATTGCTGGATCACTTTCTCAATCATCTTGTACCTACGCCAGTGACTTTCAATAAACTGGAACGAACCATAGCCACACGGTATGTATTTTGGCTGAGCTGGTTACTAAACCGGATGCCTGGAAATGCTGAGTATTAGCCCACCCGGCAAATACCCGCGCACATATCCGGACGCAAACAAAATGGAACCAGGTCCAGTTGTAAAAAAAAACAAAGAGTTTTCTTCTCATATTCTATAATGTGTTCAACCCAATGGGGAAGAAATGAAAAGTGCATGTATAGAGCAGTTCATATTTTTTATATACAGCAGAGACCACTTCTCTTATCGTTAATGTATTGCCGCCTTATTGGTTTTCGGTTATCTCGATCATCTGTTATCTCGAAGCTCTTGGCAAAATCCGAGGCCATCGACATAACCGGGTTTGACAGTAATTGTACATGTTATCCGAATTAAATTTTTTAAAACAATAGAAAACTGACAAGCGGTTGGTGAGAAACTAAAAGAAACTGCAAAACTCCCAAACTATTTTGAACCGCCTGCGAAATTAATGTAACTAATTGTTTTAGTAAGATCCATATCTTTAATTATGATCTGGACACTCACAGGATGTACAGAGATGTACTGATGTTACAGAGTTGCCAGTGAGGGAGTGTGAGTGTGTGAGTACGGTGCGCGTGGTTGAGCCTGGGTGTGGGTGGATGTGGGGGGGGGTGTGTGTGAGTGTGTGTTTGTGCATGGGTTCTTGGATGTGAGTGAGTGAGTGAGTGAGTTTGTGATTACGTAGGTGTGTGCATATGTGTATGTGTGCGTGTATGTATTCGTGCGTGCGTTTCATTCCTAAGTTCTGCCATGCAAGTCAATAATACTAATGTTTAGCACACATTTAATAAGTTTAGCTATTGGCTTAAATGAAGTAAAGTAAGGGTAGTAATCACCAAATGATGCAAATATTGATTAGAATAATACATTGGTATCAGAAAAACGAACATCAATCACCGTCAACGACACGCAACTCTAACGGTCCACGATTAATTTTGTTTTGTTGAAAGGTTAGGGCAGCTATTCTCAACCTGTCGCTCACGACCCTCTCAGGTTGCAATCCAACAAAAGGCCCGGGGTTGCTTGAGAATTTTAGAAATGTGTAGGGTTGAGTGGGTGTGTGTAATATGTGTATCTATTCTTTTTTTTTTTTTTCATTTTAAAATTTCATTATTATTTACAGTGATCAGACTAGTTTCTTAATGTCACTACACTCTCACTACACTCACACTACACTCCCACTACACTCTCACTACACTCTCACTACACTCTCACTACACTCTCACTACACTCTCACTTCACTCTTACTACAATCCCACTACACTCCCACTGCACTCCCACAACACTCTCACTACACTCCCACTACACTCTCACTACACTCCCACTACACTCCACAACACTCTCACTACACTCCAACAACACTCTCACTACACTCTCACAACACTCTCACTACACTCCCACTACACTCCCACAACACTCTCACTACACTCCCGACAACACTCCCACTACACTCTCACTACACTCCCACAACACTCTCATTACACCACTGCTACATAAAGGTTTGTTTTTTTAAAAATACGATTCATTAGCTAGTTTTTTGGAATTGTTTTTCCACATACGTTTTAAGAAGTATATTATAATTGCAATAGTAAAATACAATCCTAACTCGTCTGTGTTGTGTGTTTTCCTCATTATACATTCTTTTATACCTCACATCACATAATCACTCACTCCTCTTCTCCAACCAATATTTACACCTTTAGGTTTAACATTCATGAAAACAACTCACCACGTCCCGTCATACAACATGACAACAACAGAGGCCAATCAGGTCACAAAGTTCAAGCAATACACACAGCAATAATTGTCAGTCATACATACTACCACATTAATATAATTTAAATGAATTTTTATTTGCTTTTTGTTTTTTTTTTTTTTTTTTTTCTTTTTTTTTTTTTTTTTTTTTTTTTAAATATAAACTCAAACGTTAGAATCTTGTGCACAAAACTATTACTAGGTGTATGATTCATCCACAATTTTCTGGGAATTAACTGCTGTGGTGAAAAGACGCTTATTCTAAGGCTGCGACTATTCGCACCCGGGTACCAGCAGTGAGAGGTTGGGATTTAAAAAAAAAAAATTATAGTTGGGTTTGTAAGACAAAATGAGGTATCAAATGAAAGATACATTGGAACCCCGCTATAACGCGCCCCGCCATAACGCGAATTCGGATATAACGCGGTCGTAGCATGGCTCCCGAAATTTGAAATTCATTTACTTCATCAGGCCTAAGTTCTTTGAAAATTTTATCCATTGCTTGGAAAGCCTTTTTTTAAAGCGAAAAAAAATCACAACTTTTCAAAATATCGTAGAAAATGAGCCCTTAAACGCACCACGTTCAAACTAGCATCAAAATTAATGCCGAAAACGAGGCTTTCTTCCGGTAGAATTATAAATAGTAATACGTATACGTTCTCTGAAAAAAGTTAAATATTGTTAAACCGCGCATTAACGCAACCCCGCTTTTAACGCGATCCGATTTTATGGACCCCCGATCATCGCGTTATAGCGGGGTTCCACTGTAATTGAATGGACTACATGTTTGTAAACCTACTTCTTCAGTTCGTTAAATAAACTACCACAAATGACACCCGAATAGCATTGAGTCTAAATGGACCCAGGCACGCAGGTCCGCCATTCGCACTGTATAGCACTGGGCTCAGTCCTCGTTATAACAAGGTGCTTTTAATTCATCACTTTATTGGGATTTTAATGTCCACTTTGATTTCATCACACCTGGACACGGACAGGCTTCTCTGACTCAGAGCTAGTATGAAAGACTAGAAGCTTGATTAACCTAGACCATCTCGTGTGACCTAAAATGTATTGTGTCCTTATTGATCAAAATAATCCTAATGTCCTAAAATGCATTCTGTCCTAATTGATCAAAGTAATCTTAGTGTCCTAAAATGCATTCTGTCCTTATTGATCAAAGTAATCTTAGTGTCCTAAAATGCATTCTGTCCTTATTGATCAAAGTAATCCTAATGTCCTAAAATGCATTCTGTCCTAATTGATCAAAGTAATCTTAGTGTCCTAAAATGCATTCTGTCCTTATTGATCAAAATAATCCTAATGTCCTAAAATGCATTCTGTCCTTATTGATCAAAGTAATCTTAGTGTCCTAAAATGCATTCTGTCCTTATTGATCAAAGTGATCCTAATATCCTAGACATGTTAATTTCTGCAAGCTCCAATTCGGGTAGGAACAATGAGATTCTGATGATGCTTTACTCCAATGTGTTGTGAATTTAATGCGGAATGCTCTTTATTTTAAACAATAAACAAATGTTTGCTGTGCGTTTTAAGGAATTAAGATATGCAGCTATTTAATTCATGTCGCAAAATAATTTTTAATGAATTTATTTATATTTTCATGTAAACACCAGAGTTTTAAAGTTTTTTTAAATATTTTTTTTTGTTTATTTCAACGTTTTTGAATGTTTTTGATTATTCAGTCACCCCAAGTTCATTTTTTAAAAAAATTTTCAGTCACCCTAAGTTCATTTTTATTCACTTTTTCGCAGTCACCTATGGTCCAATCCTTTCAACCAGATTTCGGACCTCTGTTTGGTGGCACTTTACTAGAGGTCAAAGGTCAGCATCTTAACATCGGCAGCAGATCCAGAATTATCGTCGCAGGAAACGAATGTGACATTATTGGTGATAAAATTGCAACAAATGAGTTTGTACAATATTTGAATAATTAAATTTTGGTGCTATTTTAATAAGAAACTATTTACTTTAAATAATTTAATGCTTCAATTATAGAAAATATATTTATATTTCTACGTAACTAATATTTTAATTATAGGATGATATTTTTTACATTTCTAAATAACCAATGTTTTAATCATAAATTTTTGTCCACATTTCTAAATAATCAATATTTTAAACGTGTAAAGCTGTTCGTCGTTTCCAAAGTTCATGTTCTTCCTATGTATCCACAGAAGCATAAAGTGCTCTACAAGAAAGAACAACAAAGCTGCCTGTGGTCATGTAGAAATATACATTGATGATTTCAACCAGAAGTTGACCAACGGAAACTTCTGCTACAAACATGATCCTGTCATAACTAAAATTTATCCACTTGCTTCTATTCAAAGGTGAATAAACTTTCCTTCAAAATACCTTGTCTTTAAAATAGCTTGTATTTAAAATACCTTTCTTAAAAATACCTTTTCTTAAAAATACCTTGTCTTTAAAATACCTTTCTTAAAAAAAGAGTTGTTTTTTTAATGTAGGGCCAAAATGATTTTTAAAAAAAATGTAATATTCGATAAAAATGTACCATATAACCGAAAACACATAGCTGGGATTTCAACTTTCACTTAATTATTATTAATTTATTAAAATGTGTGTTCTGTTATGTATATTAATGTACGGGATCAACAGTGGCACAGCTATGGTTAGTGACGACCAAGGCAAGACAAGATTTGTGCCACACCCTTCTTTGAAAAGATGCTACCCGGGGGGGGGGATGAAGTCCACTCTCCTCCATCTTCCCACGCCACTGGGAGTCAGCAGTTACTGAAGTTTGGGGGGATGAAAAGCAAATTTAAAAGTAAATTCACTAATNAACACGGATGTCCTGTCCCAAACAAACATGTGTAGCGTCCCAGCCATGTTAATCCAAAGACGCCTCCGCTGGCTTGGACACGTCAAGCGAATGCAACCTGGTCGCATACCAAAGGACGTGCTATACAGCGAGCTGGCGACAGGGAAAAGGTCAGTTGGACGGCCTCGTCTGAGATACTTAGACATATGCAAAAGAGACATGAAGTCGGCCAACATCGACATCTCAAACTGGGAGGAGCTGGCAGAGGATTGATCCTCATGGCGGGGCATCGTGAAGGCAGGATCACTACATGCCGAGGATCAAAAGATGGCGGAAACAGCTGCAAAAAGAGCGGGGAGGGAGGCCGGTAAATACTGCTCCACCGCATTCGTGTGTGGGAAATGTAACAGAGACTGTCATTCGAGGATTGGTCTCACCAGCCACACCAAGACCTCCAAGCAATAAAGATAATCTATCGTCTCCCGCAGACGGAAAGATGCCATACATACATACATACAGAGCACAACGACTTATGATAAGCATTATAAACCCATTTATTCGATGTTGTATTTTTTGAATTATCGATTGCCTAACTCTACGTATGCTTTCTCCAGCGGTGGTACAACAATGACTCTATCAGGTACAAACCTTGACAGCATCGCGTCTTCCCAACTTGCAATCGTTTTTAATTACGACACCATGAAGGGCAGTGACGTAAGCTTTTTTAAAATAATTATACATTTTTAAACGCATGAAAATCATCGGTGGATAGGATCCCTATGGCATTCATCTTCAGGTAATACCCCATGACATTTATAATTATGTAAAATTCACATGCCATTCATTATTTGATAGAATCCCCGTGATATTCAGCGTTGGATGGGATCTCCGTGACAGTCATTGTTAAGTAGGATCCATGACAGAACCAAATACATCACTTTCTTTGGGAACGATTCGTACACGAAGTGTAAAAAAACACTAAATCATAGCATCGTCTAGACCGTGCGTTAAATATTTTAAAGAGCAAGTAGCCATAAAGAAACTTTTGAGTGCACAGTAGCCAAGTAGTCATAAAGAAACTTTCGGTATTTTGATTGATGCACTAAAAATAAACAGCAGAATTTACTTAAATGATTAGATAATTAATAATATTGTGTCATCTTAATTGGGAGTTTCTCTAGAGGAATTTAAATAAGAGGGGGGGGGGGGTATAAAGGTTTTACTAAAGAAAGGACAACAACGTCTCCTAGTGTAGTACGTGGGGAAAATAAAAATAAACAGAAAAATTTACTTAAATGATTATAAAATTAATAATATTGTGTCATTTTAATTGGGAGTTTCTCTAGAGGAATTTAAAAAAGAGGGGGGGGGGTATAAAGGTTTTACTAAAGAAAGGACAACAACGTCTCCTAGTGTAGTACGTGGGGAAAACTCTCTCTCTATCTCTCTCTGAATAAAGGAATATACGTTTTATTCAATAATAGCCATGGATAATGCACACATTTTTAATGTACACAATAATTCTAGATACAAATAAAGCGTATCAAACTGAATCCACAATCGCAATGAGATAGTTAAACTTTTCAAAGCGTGATAAAATGACTAGTAGAAGAACAAGGTCATTGTCCGTCATAAAGTGACAATGGTGTAAACTTCACGGGACGAAATCACAAGGCCAGAGAGTTTTTTCTTTAGGACTATAATGTGGGTCCCTGTACATCAAATCGCCTCTCTCCATGAACCTGGATAGCCCAAGAAACGCCATATGGATGATACAGTTTGGCATCAGTTGTGCCGCAGGAATTGTTAGAATTTTTCATTGTATTAATGTATCCGCCTATGGAACTCCTTCTCCGCGTTTTGACTCAAGAGTTTCGTTCTCTTAGACCAGTTTCCATCTGGGTTAACGGGTCCCATCCGCACTGAATGCTGGCGATTGCTTTTGCTTGACTTGTTCTTTGAACTCCAGACCACAAGCGTGGGGTTGACTCAGTTTTCACTACACGACCGCCTAGCACCAGATGCGATAATAATATGTTCTCAACATAAAAATAATGACATCTTCAATAAGAATTATTAAGAGTATCAGAGCAAAGAACAAAGTCTGGGAACTGAATAACTTACGTACATTTAATAAAATACCGAATCGCTAGTCCTTTTACATATGCATCACGAAACCAAGGCATCAGCTCTTGACTCCGGGTTAAAGTAGACAAGATCTTTGTAGTGGTGTAATATTCAGGTCGATCCTGATCTCCTGGGAGCCATCATGGGAGTACGATAGGATAACTTTATAAAAACATTATCCCATAAAAAACTCTTGACCTCTTCGACCTCGATAACATTTCTCTTCGTGGGGATACATGGCAGGGCGATGGGTTAGGGGGGTGGGAGGGTGTTTCCATATACACTAGCATGGGATTTGAACGCTAGTTACAAGGTGAATAGCGGAATTAAATCTAATAAAAATTCGGTTAGCTGAAATGTGTACGAAATAAATTTGTTCAAATTATATTTGTTCAAACGGAAGTTTGTTCGAAATGAAATAATGGAGAGAAAGATGGGGGGAGGGTGTTTGCAAAAAAAATAAATTTTATTTTACAGTTTACATTTTCGCTAATTTCTCATTTGGACATTCCCTTGAAAGAAGCTTTAAAAAAAATAATAAATAACTTTCCATTTAAATATTTAATTTTGAAAAAAATTCCTTTTCCAACACACTGCCGTCGAACAATGTCCATTTGAGCTAATTCCTTTCGTACCAATTTCCGGTAGTGGTAAATTCTCCTATCTGAGGACAATAATTGAAACAGGAATTTTACCTTAATCTTGACCTTTTTTGTGTCTTAAATCCTTAATATCAACTTCGCTTTTATTCGTGTCTGTCTTTCTTTCTATCTCTGTGTGTGGCTAAATCTTCGAACGGCTAACTGACCCATTTTCCCGTCAATTTATCGAGTTGAAACTTGGCACATAGACACTTTACATTTTTCAGCCCCAACCCCCAAATGTCGGTTTTTCCTGCTTTTCAATGGGAAAACGAAGTAACTATGATGCCACTGATTTCACGAAATGAAATTCCCGACAACTGCGCTAAATGAGATTCTTAAACAAAAATAATAAATGTCGCAAACGCGTAATATTTTCTTTTGCTTTTCTGCAATACTTGGTGAAATAAATCTGCGCTGTGAAAGTTGGTGGGACATTATAATATTTCTATAAAATAAATTAATAAAAAAAATTATTATTTAATACTAAAAACTTTGTATTTAGCGGTTGTTGAATTTGTTGCTAACTTGGTAATGGAACCGTGTTTCTACTTATAGACTAGTAGCATAGCCAGGGGCGTAATATAAGTAGTGATGTAATACAATGATTAGTAAAGGTAGCGAGGATCGTTACAATAACACAAACAGTTTGTAGGCGTTTATAGCAGTTTTATTCAATATATAATAGGGAAAAGCGCAGAGATTAAAAATCTAGGACAAAAGAATTTCAAGACTATTCTTATATGGGACAAGTTATAACCATATTTGCTTGATCCACTCCCCAAACTTAAACTCCCCAAATATGATCTCATTCCTATACTCTCATTCCCATATGCTGGTTCCCAAATTCTCATTTCGACATTCTCATTTCATTTCTATACTCTAATTCCCATAGTCTCATTACCATACTATCATTTCTATACTCTTATTCCTATGCTCTAATTCGTATACTCTCATTGCTAAACTCTCATACCCATACTCTCATTTCCATATTCTCATTTCTTTACTCTCATTCATACTCTCCTTTATATATCACATTCACACGCTCAAATTGCCCTAAAGTCTTACCTCTACGCTGTCAATCTCGCGGTTTTCATATTCTTATATATTTACTGGTTCTCTCTTATAAAATTGCCTATTTTTAATTATGTGATTTGGCATATATATCTTAAATTTAAAAGTTAATATATGTTTTCTATAACGGTCAATCCTTTCATTTCTTCTTTTCATCTAATCCTGCAGGCTGAGCAAGGCAACTGTAGCTATCAAGAAAATACAACGGACATACTTTGCTGTACTCCAAAAGTTCACAGCTTTACAGAACATCATTTTAAAATCTACACTGTCATTGAGGCGAACCTTGAAATAAGAATGAACGCTAAGAAAATTGTCATCGGGGAAGAAATACCAAAGAGGATACGTATTTATCGTGATCCGCATTTTGACAGCATATCTTCAAATAACATTATGCTCTCTGCAAGCAAACCAACCCTTTCGTTGAAGGTAATTCAGTAGTATCTATTTCTTCTTCTGTTCGCTTTTACGGAGTAAGCGTTGCGGGGCCGGTGTAAGGCCTGCTGAATGTTGATGTTGTGGTCTTTTAGTGGGTCTTTAGCACAATCGATCCACTGATGTCATGGCATTCACCTGGCCCTGAAACCAGAGTTCTTGCAATTAAAGGCTTGCAACGCAGGATGCTAATTTTTTTTTTTTTAACATCTCCTCGTTTGTAGAATGTCATCTCTCACAGTGGAAAAGGCGTTTCTTTTCTTCGAGATTTTTTATGAAGAGTCCAGATCTGACACTGATAAGAAAGATTGCGATAAATAGAGCATTAATTAGCGTTACTTCGGTTATTAATATCGTTTGCTACAACACCAACCAGCTTTAAAATGTCAAGGTATTTCCTATATCAGAGAATTTTTATACATTTTTTTCTTTTTGTATTATTTTTACTTAAAATCTCATTTCTCGTCGATGCTGACCCAGTAATGAATTGGATTGACTTCAAGAAATATCAAACCATTCGACACTGAGTGCAATTATTGATTATTTTATAAAGTGCCATGTTGGATGAAAGGAAAGAGAACCAGGCCGTCATTGTTTATGCTTAGATTTCTTTCTTACATTTCCTGAAAGAAACTTACAACTTATGGGAATGTGTATCTAGTGTCTTTTGTTAAGGGAGGTGGGGGGGGGGGTGGCAGTCCGTCATTGTTTATGCTTAGATTTCTTTCTTACATTTCCTGAAAGAAACTTACAACTTATGGGAATGTGTATCTAGTGTCTTTTGTTAAGGGAGGTGGGGGGGGGGGTAGCAGTAAGAGACAAATGAATTTGTTTAATTGCGCATGTTGGTGAACTTGCATAGATCCATGAAAACTAGATATTTCTATAGTGTGTCCACATGGCTGTGTTTCATTGAGTTTTATGGGGGGGGGGGCCTTTATATCAGGTGATGGGCCGTTTATTTTACAAGATTCTGCCTGGCTCCAACATAAGTTTGTTGACGGAGAAGATTTCATACAAATACGACTTGAATGTTTAGTGTCGAATCAAATTTTTTAAATAATACACATATATAATACACAACATAATATAATACTGTAAGTGAACTTGTAACGAAATGTCCATATTTTTAAAAAAGGTATGCGTGTGTTTAAACAACAACAGAATTTTATATGAAAATTTTAAGAAAATTTTACTGTTCTCACTTAGTTGCATGTACATTATATGTATATATGCTTGTGACCTGAATGTGTGTATGCAAAAAAATAAATACTACGTATGTAGTAAGTGGAATAGCGGTCATATTCTATCATTATAAGTACAGATTTATTCATGTCAGTGTTATGATAAATTAATCCATTTTTGATGTCATCATAAGGTAAGCATATGGTTTAATGTCATAATGGTTTTAATGCATTTAATCAGTGTATAATATAGATTTAATAATAATTTCTTGTAACAACTATTATACCACAGGGTCAGGATATTCCCAAAGATATAAATAAAACAGACATAAAAGTGATGGTCGGAGATCAGCGATGTCCCGTCATACAAGTAGAAGTTGATGTTCTTGAGTGTGATGCACGAAATTTCATTGATAAATTCATACGTGATGTAACAGACCAGACAAGTGTCACTCAAGTCACAAACTTCACAAACTCTACTGTCGGGACAACGACGCCGGAGCCTGTGGGGCCATCACAACGTGCAATAGATAGTATAATTACTAATGATAATAAATCTGTGTCACTATACTCCCTTTCCACAACAACGACCCCGTCACTAAAACAACCCACAGACCCACCACAGCCTAGCTATATGGTGACCATTGAGATTGGAAACTATAAACGTGAACTCGGACAAGTCACGGTATCACTGGATGGAAGCGCCCCTGAAACATTTTACTTTATAGCTGCCTACGGAGCAGGTGCTTCTGGTCTTTTCATTGTGCTGCTGTTAATAGTTACAGTAATTTTACTGATAAAACTGAAGAAATCAAGACTAAAGAAAAATCAAATCAATTCGTTTAGAGATCTGGCAGAGGCACGCCTAGGTAAAGATTTAATCAGTTTCTTCTCTCGACGTTTTTTGTTTTTGTTTAGCTTTAAAAACTTCTGGGTCTAAAACTTTAGTGTTGAACATCCTTACAAGTTGAGTATAAGCCATAACGCATGTGTTTTATAATTCGTTATAATACAATCTTACAGTTTCTGTAGCCCAGAGTGAAAACAACTCAGGATTTTTTAAGTGTCATAATTTTGGGGAATTTTTATTTTCAGGAGTTATGTCCATAAGCCCAAGTAATTATTATTATTTTTTAATTGCAACTATAAACAAAAGACATTTAATTTAAACTGCAGTCAAAGTATAAGGATACACATTAAGTTGTTTAAATGTGTAATTTTTTTTATAAAGTATTTTTTTAAAAAGTTATCTTTTATTGTGCTGAATTGGTTGGATCTTTGTTTATGCGTATCAACTTTAAAATTCTTTATATTAACTTCCCTTTTGTTCGTGTTATTGTAGCGAAATCTTCGGAGGGCTAAATGACCCACTTGGTGTCTTTTTATCGAGCTGTAGCTTGGCACATGGATTCCCGATGACAGAGCATTCTATCAAATTTTCAGTCCAAACTAAAAAAAAAATCAGTTTTAACGTTACCAGATAACACTGATTTCACGAAATAAAATGCCCGATAACTGCACTAATGAAATTCTTGAAAATATCGCAAGTGCGTTTGGTGCTCAATATTTTTTTTTTAACGGAAATAGTTGTTGAGATAAATCTGCCGTGTAAAAATGGGTGGGTCATTAGAATATTAATTTAGTTTAAGGGCGTGAAAAAATGTGCGTTGCGAACCTGGGTGGGGGGGGGGCACTAATTTGGTACTTTACTTAAATGCATGTTTTTTTCAATTCTTAACTACACCCCCACTGCCAACCACCAAATAATTATATTAACTTTGCCTTTCTTCGTGTGTTTCTTTCTGTTAAACTAGAATAAATGGGCCCACGTTCTGGAACCAGCTCCCCTTCCATATACGTCATAGTGAAACCTCGTCCATTTTCAAAAAGTCCCTTAAAACTCATCTGTTTAGGTCCGCCTATGACCTGTGATGCACCCTCCTTGCCCTACCTAATTTTCTGTTTCGGTTTAATCCTGAAGTGTCAAAGTGTCCTCGTTTTATAGCCATTTTCATTGTTTCTATAGAATAGTAGTTACTATCCTAGTGTCTCATTTGTATTTACTTAGTTTACATGTTTTAATAATTGTAAAGCGCTTAGAGCTTTATGATAAGCGCTATATAAAAATGCCTAAATAAATAAATAAATAAATAAATAAATGACCCGATGTTATCGGGATAATAATGGTAGGTCCTTGCGATAATTTATAACTGCTATCGCAAAAACTCATCCCAATTCATAACTTTTAAAATGTAATGATATTTACGTTTCTAACATCATTAAGTTTAGAGAATTATTTATCTGCTATATAGATACGCGCCCCCTCCACCCTTTCCCCCTCCTAAACTACTCCCCCCCCCCCCCTCTAAACATGACCTTAAATTACCCAGTCTAAATTATCACTAATTATATCACTTTTGTCACTAAAGAAGTTCTTCTTCTTCTATATATATTAAGGGCCCACGATCAACTTATTGATCATTTTGGCTCCTATGCATGTAGAGGGGATTTGCAATGTTTCTGTGCCTGGTGCTGATGAGGATATTTCAATGATTACAAGTGCTACTTTATGAAGGAATCATTCAATGGGGGTTTTAAGGCTTGAGGCAATAGACGCAAATGTGTCTTGTGTTGTCGCCTCAACTGTTTCTTTTGAAAGATTGTTCCAGTCCCTGATTGCCTTGGTCAGGAATGAGCAGTTTCTATACTGGCTTCTTGCTGGTATGAGCCGGAATTGCCTGTCATGGCCTCGTCGCTGTCTATGGGGGAGAGAGACGAGTTTCTGTTTAATACTGGAACAGGGGACCAGCCCATTATTTATTTTGTACATCATGGAGAGCCTGGATTGTCGTCGTCGTTTCTCCAATGGTGACCAGCCTAGTGTTTCCAGCATGCTGCCAACACTAGAGGAATTCCTGTATCGGTTCAGGACAAAGCGAGCCGCCCTTCGCTGGACCACTTCCAACCTGTCAATGCTCTTCTGGGTAAATGGGTCCCAGACTAAAGATGCATAATCTAAAATCGGACTGACAATGGCTTTATATGCTCTTTCTTTTACACAGGAGTTGCCAATCTTTAGATTTCGCCTTAAGAACCCTAGGGTCTTGTTTGCCTTGGTTACATACATTGTTAATATGCTCGTCACAGCGGACCTCTCTTTGAATGGTAACACCCAGGTACTTTACGGAGGAAACTGTCTCAAGTATATGGCCGTGCAGTTCGTATTGGTAGTGTAGAGGAGAACAACTTCTAGAGACTGATATTGTCTGGCACTTGGCAGGTTGAAATTCCATGTCCCAGCTCATGTCCCACTCAGCTAACCGATTGAGACCCTGTTTTAGCTGGTCTTGGTCAGATCTGTTGGCGGGACAATTACTACGCTAGAGAAATAATTTAGATTTACCCCTTTTCGTGTCCTTTAATTCAACATTTTCTCTCGAAATTAAAAAAACAACTAATCTTAAATTTACAACAATACTCTATATATGATATAAATATATTTTGTATTACAGGAATTTGACATATATTTATATCTTCAACATAAATTTAAACACATTTTTGCCTTTAAAAAAAATAAAAAATTATACATTATCAGAAAATCGTAAAACAAAGAATTCTTCTATCTAAAAAGAATCTCGCAACAGTTTTTCATGCTTATATCAGAGTTGACTGCATTTTTTTAAAAGTTACATTTTTAATCTCATAAAAATACACACCTCTTTACTTTTTGCAAAGTAACAAAAAAAAAAATATTTTCATTTAAAAAAAAATAGAAACTACTAACCCATATTCATTTGTCAAAATTTAATTTTCAAGTGGGTTTTGATATTCATGGATATACTCATAAAAATGTACCATAGATTTGTTAACGTCATTGATTTTCTTAATTGGTAACATCTGTATATCTCTTTTTTCACAAATGTAATATCCTATGATTTAAGTATATTGTCATCCACGTAAAAATGTACACATCCTTTTTCCTATCTCCGATATGTATGTACCCAAGAAGGTTAAATATTAATTAAATAAATTCCTTAATTTTGGGACGTATCTTGTGCTGCCTTGGGCAAAATTAACATACCAATATTTGTAAAAAAGATAATGTAACATCTTATTTTTTCACAAATATAATACCCTAGAAGTTAACTCTGTTGTCACCCACGTAAGAATTTACACATCTTATTTCCTACCTCCGACATGTATGTACTCAAGAAGGTTAATTATTTAGCAAAATAATTTCTTTATTTTGAGACGTATCTTGTGCTGCCTGGGGCAAAGTGACCAACCCCTCCCCCCACCCAGATTTAACTTTAACTTTTTATAAAATAAATGCAGATTTACAATATTTTTTGCGCATTTAAATTTATTCGATTTCCTTAAAAATAATAGAAAATAACTGTGACTCTTTTTAGGAATCCGAACGTACTTAAATCATATAGGCTCTTTTGCGTTATGTCACTGTAGCTCATTCTTATATACTAGACTAAATGACCCGATGTTATCGGGATAATAATGATAGGTCCATTGCGATAGTTTCTACCTGCCATTGCAAAACCTCATCACAATTCCTAACTTTAAAAAGAAGTATCTATGTAATGATATTTACGTTTCTAACATCATTAAGTTTTAATAATTTTTATCTGCTACATATAATACGCCTATCCTACTCTTTTTCACGCACCTAAACTATAATTCCCCTCTAAACATGACTTTAAATGAGCCAATCTAAATTATCACTAATTATATCACTTTTGTCACGAAGGAAGTTAAATGAAGGATGATTTCTACGCTAGGGAAATACTTTAGATTTTCCCTTTTTCGTGCCATTAAATTCAAACTTTTTAAAATAAAAAAAAATGTTAAAAACATAATATTAAATTTACAACAAAAACTCTAGGTGTGATATACAGATATTTTATATGAAAGGAACTTGATATATTTCTATCTACATCAACAATTTAAACACACTTTTGCCTTGTTTTTTTAAATCATGCATTATCAGAAAATAGTAAAACAAAGAATTCTTTTATCTAAAGAAGAATCTCGCAACCGTTTTTCACGGCTATAACAGACTTGAGTGTCTTCTTTCTTTAATTGTTAATCTCATAAAAATACACACTCACTTTACTTTTCGCAAAGTAAAAACAAAAATATATTTTCATATTTTTAAAAAGAAAGTATTAACCCTTCTCAATTTTTCAAAATTTAATTTTCAAGTGTGTAAAATGATTGGGTTTTGATATTAATGGGTATATTTTAAAAAATCTACTAAGTTTTGATAACGACATTGATTTTCTAAATTGGTAAAATATGTTTTTTTTGTAAAAAGAGAATGTAACATCACTTTTTTCACAAATGTAATACCATAAGATTTTAATATATTGTCATACACGTAAAAATGTACACATCCTATTTCCTACCTCCGATATGTATGTACGCAAGAAGGTTAATTATTTATCATATTCATTCCTTATTTTGAGACGTATCTTGTGCTGCCAGGGGCAAAATGACCAACCCCCCTCCCCTTTTTCTGATTAAAAAAAATAATACAATCTTCCATCGGATTGTAGTCCGTTCCATATAAACAACTAACAATTAGCATTTCATATGGCTTGTTCTTATTTGGATGATTTATTAAGTAGATTAGTGAATGCTATGACTATGGAGTTTTGCTGCACTGATTAACAACGCACTAAAACAACTGATGTTTGGGTCTTCCGGATAAATGTGATTATGATGTAATTCTTAGATCATAATTTTTTGATTACATTTTGTAACTTTAAATTCAGATAAAATGCTTAAAATAGTTTCTTAGTAGTTAATTTAAATGTGTTTGTAATTTATAACAAGAATAATTAAACTTTTACTAAAATAAAAACGGATTTAAAATATTTTTACTCATTTAAAATTTATTCGTTTTCCGTAAAATAATAGAAAATAACTATGATTATTTTTAAGAATACGAACATATCTAAATCATTCCGGTTCTTTAGCGTTAAGAGTTCTTATATTTATTCTTCAAAGTGCTTATTGGCCCCTTTCCTGTCATCCTATCGAGCTGAACCTTGGCCCATAGATTCTTTGCCGTTATAACACATTTTTCAGCCACAAAACCCAAACACCAAACATTAGTGTTTCCTGTTTTCAAAGGAAATGTGAAGCAAATATTATACAATGATCTCTTAAGAACTGCAGCCATCACCATGTCGTACTAAAATACACATAAAGCATTCATACTAAAAACTTTACTTTTATGGATTCTTTAATTTAAAATAATTATCGCTCAAAGATTCTGATATTACTTTATGTAATACAATATACTACTTAAGGCAACGGAGAAGCTTCATCCCCTACATTAAAACAGATCTTAGAATCTGTGGTTGACGATGAAGCAAGAGAAGACATGGACAAACTGATTATTGCCTTGGACAAGCTCACTGTTGGGAAATGCATTGGATCGGGTGAGTAGGTTTTATAACCCACTGAATGCAGTGGCGTAGCTAAGGGAGTGTGGGGGCGGACCGCACCGGGTGACACCATCTCGGGGGGGGGGGGACGACACCAATTTTTAAAACTGCCTATTAACAGATCACACACTGCTCTGTCTCATCGAATTTCATCAAGTATAATCGATCACATGTAAATTTTCAAACTCATTTAACCAATCCAAGTGATACGGGGAAGGATATTGATTTTGATCAAGTGATTGACAGGTTTGCAGCTTTGAAGACCAGGAAAGAAAATTTTAAATATAGCAAATTTAATGTAAAAATAACTATAACTTAACGTTGTTACAGTTCTTAAATACATTTACCTCCTGACCTGCAAATAATTTTTTTTTGTTTTTGTCATTGAAATCCACCGTTTAAGTTAAGGGGAAATGGGGGGTGACACCATGAGTTTACCGCACCGGGTGACACCAACCCTTGCTACGCCACTGGGTGGTTGGGAGCTTTAACTTTCTATCGTACATCAATTCAACAATTTATTATAATATTACTAAATATTTTCTGTATTGCATTATAACCAAGTATTATATCAAGTTTAGAATACATACACTAATTTACAAATTCTTCTTCTTATATATCTTGTTTCAGTTAACTCTATTTACAATTCTTAAAAAGTAGACTGAAGATCTTTTTTTCAACTTCTAGGAAACTTTGGTTGCGTCTTCGAAGGAGTGTTAGAGACTGGGCCGGAGTCCCCACCAACGAAGGTTGCCATTAAAACGTTACAAGGTTAGTGCTAGGTTGCATGCTGTTTTGGTTGTTACAGATAAATTAATACAGATGAGTTGGTACTAGCCACCTTGGCTGACATGTCCATCGCCGATACTGTTGAAACCGAATACGTGATGATATATGCCACGCTGATATTTGACCAGACTCACTACACTTTAATAAGGTCATTAGTAATCTTTCACCAATATTTAAATGACAGTTAGAGAACGTACCCGTCTACAGTCTACAGTAATGATGACCAACCTTTTTTTTTTTTGCCCCACGCTTCACATGGGAACCAAAAACAAGGTTGACTCTACCACCCAACCCTAAACTCTATTGTAGAGGAAGACTTTAAAAATGTCTTTGAGTTGCAGTCAGGAATATTGAATTTTTGAAAAACTGAGCATTGCAAGGATAGAAAAAAAAAATAAGTCTAATTTCTAAAGCAAAAACTTTAACTCGATGTAACCATAACCCTATGCAATCAAACATACTGGACTATTCCCGTTCTCAGATCCCATGGCCTACAGCATTGACCTGCTCGGGTTTGTCCAAGAAGCTGTTTTTATGAAAGACTTTCAACATCCTAATGTCCTTGGTTTGGTCGGACTTGCTGAGAAAGAGCCAGGAGTACCTTACGTCATATTGCCTTTTATGGAGAAGGGGGACCTACTGACCTATATTCGTGACCCTACAGTGGTATGTGTATCATAAACTTTAAATGAAATACGCAACACATTAAATGAATATAACAAGAAACGCAGCAGGAAGTCGCAGAGAAAGATATCAACGAAAGACACAATTAAAATATTCAAATAGTGATAAAACTGTAAATTTTTATTATAGATTGATTGATTCTCAGAAAATGTTAAATTAGATGAAATATGTACAAATCCGTGACATTCGAAGATAACCAGGGCTAGAGTGTGAGTAATAGCCTTAACTTGCGCTATATTTTATTTAAAGTGAAAAGTGTTGGGCGATTCATCAGCTTCCCTCTCTCGTCCTTGCCTATTAGATCCAGTGATACGACTTGGTCAAGACACTGGAAACAGACCTGGCTGAAGTAGAAGGTTTCTTGTGTCTCACTGTGCTCTTTATTCGTTCCATGTCACAGGAGTTGGAATTTTCTTTGAGTCTGTGTCATACGGCGTACTGGACTCCTTCTCCGTGTTTGATTGATGGAACACCAATTAATATGTTTAAAATTTACTGATTTTGACAGCACAACCAACCAGCCACCTTAAAATAACGTTAGTTAAAAGACTGCAATCAAAATGTTTACATTTTTCTTTGTGAATCAACACGTTTGTTTTATTGTAACATTCCAATTTATTTTATCGGACAGTGTTCTTACATCAGTTGGTAAAAACAAATGTCTTTAGTGAAATAAATAACACATTTCGAGCCCCACCTCATCAGGCCCAAACCCATAAGCCCACACCTTAAATCCCTGACCACATAGCACCTAGCCCCCAACCCAAAAGCCACCACCCACAAGCAGACCAGTCGCCACTTTACCAGCCCCGAGCCAATGAGCCCCTACTTCATCTGCCCCCACCCGTACTACACCTGGTATTATCATCGTGTCTATAGTTCAAAATAAGTCATTATTTTTGGTAAGGCTTCATGGATTTTTTTCCAGACGATTACACTCCGTGACGTCATCAAATTTGGGGCTGACATAGCTAACGGTATGGCCTATCTGAGTTCACTCAAGTTTGTCCACAGAGACTTGGCAGCCAGGAACTGTATGTAAGTCAAACATCTATCTCGCTAATTCTATCGTGCTACTTCTATCGTGCTATATCATCGTACTACATCTCTTTATTGCAATGTGGGGTTGTTTCTGGAATGAAGACTTGAATTTTTTTAATGCACCTAATTTAACACAAATTACACATCTCTTGTTCTTCAGCTCATGACTACATCATTAAACATTACCATCCTTCTATTCCCAGTAATTGAATGCCCATATTTCACAATCTCCCGTAACCCTATGACAAGGTATGTGTGTAAATAATGTGTGTATTTCTTTAAAGGTTAGACGGCAGTCTCTGTGTTAAAGTCGCCGACTTTGGCCTGTGCCGTGATATCTATGAGAAGGGCTACTACACAAGTGACAACAAGAAGAAACTACCCATTCGGTGGATGGCGTTGGAGAGTATTGAAAATGGAGCCTACAGCACCAAGACGGATGTTGTAAGACTAAACTTTCTGTTATCTCAAATAATTGGATTTATTTCAAACTGTATATTTTTACTTTCAGGTTTTGTTAATATAATTTACCCATATTTAATTTCATTTAAAGCTCTGCATAATTTCAACAATTTTTTTGCGACAAATCCTTCCAGTGGTCATTGGGTGTCGTCATGTGGGAAATGTTGACACGTGGTCTCACCCCTTACCCAGGAGTCGATGGTTGGGATGTCGTGAACTTCCTGCGTCAAAGACGACTTCCGCCGCCTTACTTCTGCCCAGAGCATTTGTGAGTTCTTTTTTTAAACTGATGGTTTTATATCTGTTTCAAATTCACTTAATCCGGTGTTTCGCATCGTGGCGCCCTCGTCCCACAGAGGGGCAATTTGAGTATTTTTGGGGGAAGGGGGCAAAATCGAAAACGAGCTGTCTATAATTTGAAAACCAACCGTCTACTATGATTTAACTTTCTTTTAAAAAGGAAAATCCTCAAAGTTTCAATTTAAAATAAGCGTTCGTTAAAAATTCATTTACTATGTTTCCTCACCAATTTCCTAATTATTTCTTTCTAAATCCTATCATTTAAGTTTCTTCAGTGAACAACCCAATTTTTTAAATATTTTGAATGATGTATATGCTACATGGAAGGGGGTAAGAATTTTATAAAGGCTTAAGTGGGGCATGGCACAAAAAAGGTTAGGAAACACTGACTAATCGGTGCAAATAAAATTCTCAAAATCCTTTTTTTTTTCTTACTTTAGTTTACGGCTATACAAAAAGGAAGATTTGTAAAATATCCTTATTAGCTCATTACCAATGTTAAATTACATCATTTGCAGGTACAATGTAATGATGGTGTGTTGGGCGAAGGACCCCGATCAGAGACCAAACTTTCAGACGATTCAAAGGGAGTTAATGCTTCTAATAGAAGACTGTATTCAGGACTCTCAAAAACTAGAACCAAAATCAGAAATGAGCCAAAATGTGTACGTAGATTTGCCAGTGGATAATAGTGACGTTACTGGAAAGTCTCAACAGAAAAATGAAAAAAAAAAGACCATTGTTGAAATGCGTGAGTCTGTTTCCCAAGCTCCTGGTGTAGAAGGGGAACAAACAGCAAAAGACAAACTATCGAATGGGGTGATAAGTGAGAAAAAGTGCTGTAATAAAATAACATCCGGGCTCAATGAATTCGAGACAGCAGGGACATCCAAATCTAAGACAACGAATTCTGCAGCTCAAGCCGAGACCCAAGAGATTGTGGCTAAGACGGAAGACACTGGCGATTATGCTTTGTTAAGTATCTTTTCGACAACAGGACCAAAAGTTGTAAAGAATGTTGCAATAACAATACCAGAATGCTATTCCGACAGAGATGTCAACAAATCAGCCATTGGAGTTTACGTCAAGCTGGTGGGGAACTACGAACCGCCCCGGAAGTTCACGAGTCCGTTCCGAAAGTTGACGAAACGACACAGCAAGAGAATGGCAGATAAAATAAATAGAAAAAGCCAGGCAAGAAATGGGGTCATGTCTAATGATTCCATTAAAAGGGATTTGTCAAACAGCGTGTCAGAATGTCCAACACTGACGGTGACCACTGATGGTGCCGCATATTTTGAGCTAGAGCCAAGGTCTGCAAGGCTAAGCCAAATTTCAGACGATGGGTGCAGCTCGACGAGATCGTCTTATACAACGCGCACGGCGGGGTCTGTGTGTAGTGTGTGGGGCGCTGTTACGCCTGGGTCTTCATTCAGGAATATGACAGACATTAACATGAGATATGGTTCCAATCCTTCTCTACTACGTCCCAAAGGAAGACAGACACGTCCGTTCAGTGAAAATAAACCATCTCTCCGGGATGCGACTCCACTGAATCACTCCCCGCTGCGTGCAAGCTGTGATGTCATTTTTGTACCGAAAGAATCTGCCGATGTTTAGTTGATAATTCTACACTTTCATTTGGTTGGTCGGCCCTCGTGTGCCAACTCATGCTTTGGGGTAGAGGTCAAGGACGTTGCTCCTGTTTATATGTTTTATATTTTTGTGGGGGCAGTCAGCAGGTCGAGTTTACTATTCAAAGGATCTTTATTTTGTTTGCGCCAGATCACTCTGATACACAGCCAGGCCTTCCTATCAATGATTCTGAATGCCCATCAGGTTGCTGTTCAAAGTGGTATAATAATAACATAAACATTAGCCATGTCCAAACACATTATATTTCTTAAGGTTATCATTTTACATTGTCCTCTCGCTTGTTCATTCAGTATTTCAAAGCGAGACACATATACCAAAAATAAATTTGTTAACATTATCAAAATGTCTGGTTTAAAAATTGTTAAAAAAATATATATTTACTTGTGATTGTTGGTATTTTCTATATAGAGTATTGCCTCCGTATAATCCTGAAATTCAAATAAATGGTGTCTTAAACGCTTGCCAGTAACACTCGATCAGTATAAATTTCAAGAAAAAACAGTTGAGTTTATGGACAGAAAAGTGAATGTGATGAAAAAATAACGAAAAAAACCCCTCGTTTTATTTCTTTAATTATTGAATATTTTATAATTTCCTGTCACAAACAAATTTTACCTCACTTCAGCAATCAACAAGATTTGCAAGAGTTGCATTAATTGTGCAAAGTTTTAAATGTAAAAACTTGCGTTTCGAATTTAAAACAGGTAAATATAATTTGTTACGTCATATTTTATCACATTGACTGCATGTCACCAAACAAGTTCAACAATTTGAGAGACTTTTACGTCAATGCCTGACTTTTGACGTGGTGTTTGAGAAGCAAATACTATATTGAGACAGCAGCGAGAGTATTTGAGATAAATTTACTAATTATCGGGGGGTTGCACTTCGATATATATATATATATATATATATATATATATATATATATATATATATTATATATATATATAGGTCATAGGACTTAACCTAAATAATATGTAGAAACTGAATGAACATGGTTTCCAAAAATATACAAACCTTGAGAATTTTCATACAGATGAAATTTTACCTAAAAGTGCCTCTGAAAGAGGTATAAAACAACTCGACCGATATCTCGGAACGGATGAAGATTATATTTCGTCTAAAATCTGGCACAAAAATTTCGAGATGTCAAGAAAAGTCATATCCCTACAACTTACAGGAGGGGAAGAAAAAAAAAGTGTATGGCCATTTAAAAACGCAAGTTTTAGTTGAAACCTATGCAGCACGACACATGTTCATCAGCTGAAATAAAAACATGCAAAGTTTTGAAAAAAATGTCTTAATAAACTTACTTTCGTACGATATTATAAAATGTAATATTTTAGGATTATACCGAGATGCAAAAATTGTAATCACTTTCTAAATGTTATAATTAAATAATAGTTAGTGGGAAGTTTCATTAAAAAAAAATTAAAATTCAATTTCAAACATATGTTCTACAATACAAATTTAACAAAAATGACTTTTTTTCCTTAACAATTTTCGCCTTTTAAATTTTCTTTGTTATTTATATCAAAGTTAAAATGTTTTTTTTTACCCTTTTTCGTTTCAATAATTTGGCTTTAAGATATCAATCAAAATTAAATGGTCTATTGAAATGCGTGTGTAACTTGGATAACCTGTAATCTATTCATCTAAATGATGTTACTCCTAGTTGATGACTCTTTTAGTAAACATATTTTACAAATGAATTATTTAAGATAAGAATTACATTTATTAATTATGGTTGAGAATCAGTTTAAAAATTAAATTTTGTTGTTTATTTTTGTGTTTGTTTTTTTCGTGTATTTTTTTTTTAAAGAGGGAGGGGGGAGTGGAGGTATTGTGTTTCGGAAATCACTTCTTTAACACTGTGAAAAAATATGGACGGGAAAATAGAGCAGACTTTTTAAATTTAAAAATGCACTATCCATCAAATAAGATCCCCAGTCATGCTTTACTATCTAAATCTATATCAGTGTCGCTGAGTGTGAACGAAATATTAACTGCGGTAGTCCCCCCTCCCAAGTTTGCCCTTGTGGGTCCCTTGACCCTTGTTCGTCGCTTGGCCTTGCAGCTCTCTGTCTGTTAGGAAATGAGCAAAACAAAGTAAGGTCAAACCTGAAAAAAAAAAGGGAACGCAATAAAACAACGAACGTGTCGGCAGGGAGACCTCGTCAGCGAAGAAACAACAGAAAAAAATAATATATATTTTTTTTTTTACAAATTTACTTTAAAAAGCACATTCTCAGAGAAGTAGCACACGAGAGGGCAGCTAAAGAATTTCTCCATCTGTTTGCAGCGATCGTCCCGACATCGGCCGGACACAAAGTGAGACATGACGAGCCACCCAGAAACGTTTGGTATCATGGCGGAAAAGACACTACACTTTGACCTTAACCAAAAGACCAAACTGTTGCTCTAGATTAAAAAGTTAATTAAATCTTAGGCTTTTTAAACCAGCGCTTTCTTGGTGTTTACATGCGGGTACTCGGCAGAGAGATATTTTGTACCTTGTTTAGTAATTGATTATTTTGTTTTAAAATAATGTATATGACACTAAAATTCAATGTATGTGACAAATTCTGTTGCTATGAGTTTTGTATTTGTGGCGTATTTGGGTATGCAGTAAAAAATATATTGTATTTTTAAGACGAAGCATTTAGAGGAATTTTAATCTGTATAAAAATTCTCAAGGAATGTATATTTTATGTACCATATTCAGTTCCTACATATTAGTTAGGTTAAGTTCTTTAACCTATATATATATATATATATATATATATATATATATATATATATATATAATATCGAAAGAGCACACGTCTACTCTCCACACACCACCCGATCTCTATATATATATATATATATATATATATATATATATATATATATATATATATATATATATATATATATATATATATAAAGAAGCCCAACCTCCAGATAATAAGTAAGTTCTGTCAATGATATTCTCGCTGCTGTCTCAGCATGGTATTTGCTTCTCAAACACAACGTCAAAAATCAGGCATCGCCGTAAGAATCTCTCAACTTTCGAGGGATGTCCATAATGAAAATGGTTGAACTTGTTGGTGACATGAAGTCAGTTGTGATAAGATATGACATAAACAATGGTATCATCGTGTTTTAAATTCGAAGCGAATGTTTTAAATTTTAAAACTTTGTACAATTAGAAAATGCAAATATTGCAAATCATATTGATTACTGAAGCCAGGTAACATTTGTGTGGGACAGTAAATTATAAAATATTCAATAATTAAATTAATAATTCATTGTATTTTCATAACATTCAAACCTTACAGTGACTGGGTCTCTTTTAGAACAATAAATATGTTCAACTTTATAAATAAACCTCAATATATTATATGAATGTTATACACAATTGCAAGTCCCCATTGAAAGCTCGGTGGAAAATCCCCAAAGATTGCTCAGTGGCAAGTTCCCATTGACATCTCAGTGGCAGATATCAAAATTATGGAATCGTCGTCGAAGGAGCTGCTACGTTCTGTTAGAGACGGTTCTTTGGAAAACATACAGCGTGCTCTGCTTCATAACGGTGACGTCAATACGACGGACGACAGTGGGAAAACTTCAATCTTGATCGCAGCAGCAGGAAGAAGATGGAGTAGTCTCTCGTGTCTAAAACTCTTGATTCAAAATGGCGCCGATTTAAACATTGGTGGATACCAAGTGTAAGTCGGCGATGAGCTCCATAGATGGAGATGGGCCAGTTACTTTAATGTTTGAAAATTTCATTAATAGGGAATAGATAGCCTTTTAGTTAAATAATATTATTTTAATTGCTAACATCCAGTTCTTTTTAGTAAAAAAAAAAGGGGGGGGGGCATTACTGTCAATTTGATCCCGAGTGGGGGTGGTGGCTCCGAGGCAAGAATGGAAGGCGCGAATGGCTCTTGAGAGAAAGGGAGGGCATGAGTTTGGGAAGGGGGCTTTCCTCCCTCGCTGGAACTTTTTGATACATTCATCATATACAGAGATGCATTTTGGCACATAACTGAATTTAATTTTGCATCCTTCTACATTTAATCGGAGAGCCACTGGATAGCTGCTAGTGCAAATGAAAGAATCTCTGGACCTCAGAGTCATCGTTCTGGCCGTATGGAGGTGGGGGGTGGGGGGTCTCATATATATTTAAGTGACGAAAAGTTGTGATGTGTAAAAAATTTTTAAATATCAAATTTAAATACAAGACTAAATACAAGACAAGAATCCACCGAAAATTGGAAGTTGTCGTCAAAATGTCACGCCAAGTCTCTGCTTAATCTTATTGCGTCCGTGCAAACTCTTATTGGATAATTTTGGGTGTTATTAAATAGTAACCTTTTATACGTTAAAAAACACTATTTTTTTAACCACTTTATCAATCAATTAATATAGATATATAAACATATTTATATATATATATAATATGTTTCCGTTGACACAGCTGTCAACCACAATAAAGCACTCCTAACATAAATCTACGTAATGAAAGCACAAAAATAAATCAAAATAAAATAAAACAACTTACATATACTAGTTACATGTTCTAAATGATTTCAAGATTTATCGAAGAAGGAGGGTGGGGCAGAACACTTAGTTATAAACATAATCCAAACCTATTTTCTGTAATGACAAGGGAGTTCGTTTTAGTGGGAAATAAGAATATGATAGGATGCATTTCCCACCCGCGAAGGTTGTACACACAAAGGAGGGGGGTGTGGTATGGGGGAAGGGGAGACTAACTAACACGGCCATTAACTCTTGTGTTATAAGGGAAGAAACTGGTGCCAACAAGCACTTCCTCTTGCAGGAAGGAAGAAAAACAACAAAACAACATAGCGTAGACAATATTCCATTTTGGAGCTAACAAAATGAAGCATGCCGCCAAGGTAGAAGAATAGAGAGTACTTCGATCTAAAACTATCAAAGTCAGTTTTAGTATCGAGAACGTAACGATATTGTAACAGACCACGTGACTTATGCATATGACACGGATTTTTGCGCACGACACTTTAATTCTCAAGGCCGATGGTGTAGTGATTTGAAGGAAAAGAATAGAAACACGCGAAAAAAGGAACTAATTTTGATAGCGTATGAAGAATTCATGTTTTTGAGTGGAGGGAAGTGAAAAGTGAATTTTAATGGAGGAGGTTAACATCTTGTATTTTTTTCAGATGGATTTGATGAATTAATTATGAGATAAAGTATTGTACGAGTATGGAGATATCTTCTTCGTATTACTACTATAACTGTTCTAACAATTCTGATGTCACGGAACCACGTGACGTGTTTATCAAATATCTTAAAAAAGTAGGATACTGTGTAATATTTATTGGACCTTATTACTTATTTGGCAAAGAAACAGACGGCCGTCTATAAATGTGGATGAGCTAGTTTTACTGGCTAGTAATCACTTGCACTGAAGGAATACAACACATTAGCTAACGTTTACAAGTAGAAACACTCAACTCTAAACGTTACAGATCTACATTTTTAAATGTATACGATCTTGATTAAATTAAGTTACTGTGAGGCATTCTTATTAGGATGTTTCACAAATAAAGGATGCTTAAAACAAGTGGGTTGCAACGGGTTTAAACTGTTTATTTTTATTGAACGCACGATATTTTCTAAGGCATGCATAGTTTGTTGCAGCGCTGGGAAACTTAATTGAAGCATGGCACAAGTTGTTGTAAAAATTTGAAAATGGCTGAAAAGATGTATGAATAACTCATACATATTTTTATAATTAATAAACAAACATTAATAAAAAAAAACATATATGCAAGCATACGACAAAAATATTTTAGCATAATATTTCAATATGTGTTCATATTTGATTCCTTTCGTCATCTGCTAGTAAATTAAATTAAGAAATTATTTACAATGAATATCTTAACCCAGTCATCTGAGAGTACATTAATTCTTATCTCGAACATTCTCGGAAGATTTTTTTTTTTTTTTTACATTGTATCCCCAGGGACATCATTTCAGTTTTTTCAGGTTGGGGGCTAAAACGAAAGCTTGGTTGGCTTGTTAAGTTGTTGATTGCTGTTGGCGCAACGTAAAGGGAAATAAAAAAATAAAACCTGCAAATTGGGTGGGGGGGGGGGAGCAATGCCCCACCCCCGCCCTACCCAAAATAACGCCCCTGTGTATCACGTTCGCGGCCAGAGGCAAAAAAACACACTAGTTATATTTCGATGATGGACATGTGATTGTGGCTCAATAAAAAAAAAAAAAAAAAAAAAAACCAGCAAATTGGGGGGGGGGGGGGGAGCAATGCCCCACCCCCGCCCTACCCAAAATAACGCCCCTGTGTATCACGTTCGCGGTCAGAGGCAAAAAAACACAATAGTTATATTTCGATGATGGACATGTTATTGTGGCTCAAGGAACGTGACTGCTGCCCATTGGGGTGCGCCAGAGAAAGGTAGGAGTCGCCGCCGCTGCTGACGCCAGTGGCGTTCATGAACGAAGACCCCGGATAGGTGGTGTCCAACATTGATCCCATCGATCCAGTTGTCCGCATCGTGTAAGTTGACCGAACTGACACACTGGCATCGTCCGATGCTGAACTCAACCTATGAGAATCGGGCTCGAGTTCGAAATACGCGTCCCCGCTGCTGACAGCCAGCATCACTACGGGATCGTCTGGTTTGTCACGTGACACAACGGGCGCTGCCGTGTCCTGTGAGTTCGCGGTACTCGATGGACCCGACTGTCGTTGTCTGACGTCTTGTTTCATCTTCTCCGACGCCCGGCTGTGATGCCCCTTCGTCAGCCTACGGAACGGGCTCGAGAACTTCCGGGGCGGCTCGTAGTTCCCCACCAGCTTGATGTACGCGCCCATGGCTGACTTGCTGACGTCTCTGTCGGAATAGCTTTCTGGGATTGTAATGGTGATGTTCTTGACAACCTTAAAACCTCGATCCGATGAGACGTGATCGGGGCATGACGACATGTCTTCGGGCTGTTTCTCCGTCTTAGCCCCACACTTTTTATGTTCTCTTTGAGCTGCAGCCGAGTCATCAAGAGGAGACGATTTTGACTTCTTTGTTTTTTTAAGTTTTGCGTTTTGCAATTTCTCACTGAGCTCCCTTTGTATTCCACTCCACATTTCGTCCCTGTGTGTCGACTCTTTTCTTAGAGCACCTGCCATGGACATCGATTCCCTCATTTCGTCTATTGTCTCTAGAGATTCGGATCTCATTTTGTACTCGTCAGGCATTTTGTTGCCGTCTGACGGTATGTCTACGTACACATTGGCCACTGCTTCAAATTTTGACGTCAAGCTTGGGGATTGGTCTGGACCTTGTCCAATGAGCTGCAATAGCTCCTTTTGAATAGTGTTGAAAGTGGGTCTCTTGATGGGGTCTTTGGCCCAGCACACCATCATGAGATTGTATCTGAGGGAGAGGACATTTTGACATCATAATGTTCAATTTCTTTGCATTTGGTCAAATTTCATTTTTAAAATATTTTAACAAAAAAGGGCGAAGTTCTCTAGAAAAGAAAACATTATTTCACATCTTTTAATATAACTAAATTTATTTCAACGAAGTCAGTTCTTACAGAGATTCTGGACAGAAAAATGGCGGTGGTAGACGCCGACGACGTAAGAAGTTCACTACGTCCCAGCCGTCGACTCCAGGGTAAGGAGTGAGACCACGTGTCAACAGCTCCCACAGCACGACACCCAGGGACCACTGAAATGAAAACAAAAAATGAGAATAATGAAATCACAAACAAACAGGGACTAATGACACGAAACACATGGCATGGCAACCAAGGAAAAATAATCACTTAATATCATACACAATTTCGTCATTATGACGGTAAATAAAAAATAAGCATATATGATGTTTTTAACTGAACTTACCACATCTGACTTGGTGCTGTAGGCTCCATTTTCAATACTCTCTAACGCCATCCACCGAATGGGTAGTTTCTTCTTGTTGTCACTTGTGTAGTAGCCCTTCTCATAGATATCACGGCACAGACCGAAGTCAGCGACCTTAACACAGAGACTGCCGTCCAACCTTTATAAATGAAAAGAATCATTAAAAAAAAACGCATAGTGCTAAAGCAAGGCATTATCTACTCAAAGGGAAACACCGGAACGGCAACAATTTGTTACAACTATTTTGAGCTTGTTCTGGCAACTTTTATGTTTTCAAACTCTATTTTGTTTCTCTTGAAGTAGGTTAAGTTGCCACTTAGTGGACCGAATTAACATCTTTAAAAAATAAATACCCTCATGGCAGATCTTTACGATACTGTGCCATAAAAACAGGAATTAACATAATCACCAGATGGATATACGCCTATGCTGTGTTTGAACTTGTATCATCTTAGCGTTACTTCCGTTATACATGACTTGATTCCATACAGTGTTTATAATTTATGATATAAATATTTTAATCTAAAAAAAACATTAATCTTAATCACGATTATGGAGTCCCCCAACTGTTTTAGAATAGCTTAACAAAACAGTTTTAATCCAGTTACAAAGGCAGCTATTCTTTGACCGTGTCAGTTAAACTGAAGACAAAGTAGCGACTCACATACAATTCCTGGCTGCCAAGTCTCTGTGAACAAACTTCAGCGAACTCAGGTAATCCATGCCTTTGGCGATATCAGCTCCAAACTTGATGACTTCATAAAGAGTTAGCGTCTGAAAAACGTTTAGCATCCATGAAAATAATCTCGAAGCTAGTCATAAATTGTTAGGAGATGGAGGACGGAAGCATCGCGTAGTTTGATGTTGCTTTGTGTATAGCAAGCATTTAAAAAAAAAGAATCCTCTGTCAAATTTTCGTCAAACTTCTTTTTGAACGCATTATTTTGATTTTTTGAAATGAACGTTAGAAGTAATGAGCTCAACATTAATGTTATAACGTGCTTGTAACCACTTTAACGTCTGACAACGTCTTAGAGTTCAAAGCCTTTAAAGTCATTTTTTTTTCTTTCAAATCCCAGTCCAACTCAAGGCAACCACTAGGACTTGAAACATAGTTGCAACAAGCAATATACACTTAGTTGAGCCTCTCACGTATTATTTTATGCACCTCTTGTACCCTGAGATAGTGCAGCTGGATTTTGTGAAGCGATAAACCAACGTTATTTGAAGAGTTCTTCTTCTTCTTCTATATCTTAAGGGCCCACGATCAATTTATTGACCATTTTGGCTCCTATGCATGTTCATATCTGTCTTGGTTTAATTCTTATATAACTCATCAGACTGAATTCGCTTTTTTGTAATCGATGGGTCGCTTCACATAAATGAAATTTATAAATAAAATTCCTTATGTCACACTCTGCCCAGTAGAGTCCAATAATTTCTTTTAGAGTAATCATTTCATTGACTTACTAAAGACCCAATGTATATATTGAATTAAAACCCATTGGCTTAGGAAGTATTTTAGTAGCTTTTTGAGCAATTAAGTTTTAATGTGTATAAAAGAAAGGCAGATAAATTTGAAATTTCTCCCAAATGTTAATAACACTAAGTCATTTATTGAATGAGTGAGCACCTGTTGATATTACTTAAGTCATTGTTACAAAATTCATGATATAAAGAAAATTCATGATACATTAAAAAAAAAGTATTATAAATAAGAGTAATAATATAATATAAAACCAAAAGTCATGATCTGAGATAATATAAACAAAAGTCATGATATAATAAAAAAAAGGCATGATCTGATATGATGTAAACAAAAGCTATGAGATGATATACACAAAAATCATGATATGATGTAAACAAAAGCTATGAGATGATATACACAAAAATCATGATATGATGTAAACAAAAGTCATGATATGATATGAACAAAAGTCATGATCTGAAATGATGTAAACAAATGTCATGACATGATTTAAACAAAACATGAGATTATACACATGATATAATCAAAGGCCATGCTCTAAGATGTTATAAACTAAGATGTTATCTACATCTCTTTACTTTGTTTTTGTCAGGTTTAAGCGCCCTCTCCTAAATTTTTTCTGTTTTAGGTAGGATATATATATTGACATTATGTAAATTTAATTTATACTTATTTAAATGTGTTGTGTTTGTTTGTACTGATGAAGGCATGTGCCGAAACGTTTAATTCTGTATAATGTACAATTATTATTAAAGCTAACTCATATTGTTCTATTGACACAATTTGTTCGTGTCTTATTAATATATAATAAAAAATCAAGGCCCCCTGGCCCAATCCGGCCCCCCCCCCCCCGTACAATTATATTAGGCCCGGGAGGTCTTGATCGGCGAACACTTATATCAAAGTCAACGCTATGGTGTTTCCCAACGGACACTTTGCTGAAAAAACCTAGCTTACTTCGCGCAGAGTTCACACGGCGCTTCGACGACTTTAAAGCTCAAAAAATTTATTTTTGAATTTTTCGTAACCCATTAGTCATAGAAATGGAAACTGCATCTGCAAATTTTCTAATGGAGCTAACAGAGCTGCGTGCGACACAGTTGGGCCTGCACAGTTCACTCGTTTCATTCCTGAAGAGATGCCCCGGCTTCGTCTACATGCGGCTCGAAACTTGAGCATGTTGGGTAGCACATACATGTTTTAAGTGAGTAGTCACACAGATGAACACTCAGACTTGCAATCTCAATGACACAGAGTTACTCCCAAAATAAACGAGCTTACTTGTTTTTGTGCCCAACATTCAGCTCTGACAACTTGGCATAAGAACGAAAATGGGAATGCAAACGATTTTTAATTATTAAAATTTTTATTTATGTTCTCATTTAAATACATGTTAAAAAAATAATTTCAGCGTATTGCATGTTTATCCTGTTCGGCCCGCAACCTTACACGTGATTATGTTTGACACCCATGCCATAGCTGAAAATATACGTGACTTATGTTTAATCTACTTACCACATCAGGATCGCGCACATAGGTCAGTAGGTCACCCTTCTCCATGAAAGGCAATATGACGTAAGGTATTCCTGGCTCTTTCTCAGCAAGTCCAACCAAACCAAGGACATTGTCATGTTGAAAGTCTTTCATAAAGACAGCTTCTTGGACAAACCCAGTTAGGTCAATACTGTAGGATGTGGCATCTGAGGACATCAGTTATTGAGTAATTAGACCCTCATTGGCTTATTAGACAATCATTGATGATCTACTGGCTAATTAGACAATCATCGAACATCTATGTCACAAGGCGATAAGGTTTTTAGCTATTACTCCAAAATATTTTTGTTTACACAATTAACCCCCTCATTTCAAAAGCAAGGTAATCATTGACTTTTAAAATTTAAAATTGATTGATGGCTATTTGTATGCTTTGAATACGACCATAAGACAAGATGTGAGGAGGCCATCATGACAAACACTAAACAAGATAATATGGGATTAAGACACCCGTAGTCACATTAATCGGGAAAACCCCGACATATTTATATGTTGTTTCAGTGTTTTTTTTTAATGATTTGTTAATCTTGCGAAATAAAATTAAAATTAATTTGGTAAAAAACAACAACACGCAAATGACGTCATAGCGCTAAATGCCTATTTTAAACATAGCTCTAAGTTTTTTTGTTTTTTTTATTTAATAACCGCGCGTTACAAAACTGATAATGTATTTTCCCCTTCTTAAAAATAAAGTTAATAAAAATATAAATATAATTGATTGCTTTTAAAATGTTAATAAAAACAATAAAAAATTTAGCTTTGTATTTTAAACATTTTATAAGTTTTTACGTCCAAAAAAAAATACTTTAATTTAATTGATAAAGTAATGAAAACATAACCTTGACATATACTTTTAATAAGAAAATCTTGTTTACGTCAATCGTTGAGGCGAAATCCCATAGCCAAAAAGCATTCCTTAATGCTGTTATCATTCATCCAAATAGTAGCAAACCACATAAAGTGCAAAAAAGTGTGTTTAACATAGGATAGAATCCCGTGGATGCTCTTGTTAATTTGTTATTAAAATCTGGGAGAATGGGGGTAGGGATACAATACCTTCATTTTTCTTTGGCCAGCACAAGATACTCTTCAGAATAAATACATTAATTTTTATAAATAATTAACCTTTCTCAGGTACGAACCTATATCCTGGGTAGGAAATAGGATGAGTACATTTTTAAGTGGATGATAATATCTGTATATCCAATGATTTTTCAGTTGTGCAAAAATAGATGTTGTATCCTATTTTTACAAATCAACATGTTTGACCAATTAAGAAAATCAATGAGGTTAACGAAACATGGGTACATGTTCAAAAGTATCGGCAAAACATATCAAAACTCAATCATTTTTTTTAAAAAAAAAAATTAAATTTAAAAAAAAAAAAAAAAGTATTTTTAAAAAAAAATTTTTACCCACCTTTTTTTTTATTTTATGAAAAGTCAAATAGTCTTAGATTATAGTGTTATGAGATTAACAACATTTCAGTAAAAAAAAAAAAGTCAGCCAAAGCTGTAACAAACTTGAAGAGCGTTTAAGATTTTCTTCTTTAGATCAAATAATTTTTGTTGTTGTCCGATTTTCCAATAATGTAGTAGGAAAAACGGCAAAATTTTGGTTACATTTTTAAATTAGGTATCAGTATATCGAGTTCCGTTAATATAAAATACATTTGAAGTGGTATGTTGATTTTTGTTGTTGTAAATTTAAGATGACGTCCTCGCAATTTTTTAGAGAAGATTTTATTTAGCCCAGTGGCACCATAAAAAAGTGGTAGGGAGGCACATCATTTGACAATGTAAAAACACAAGGCATCTTAAGTATTTCTGTAGCATAGAAATCAACAATCCACGACCTCCTTTAGGGAAACTAATGATTTAAGTAGTGATAATTTTGATTTATGTATTTTATTTTAATATCATGATTATGCCTCTTTGCTATATTTATGTACAGCGCGGTGAGCCCAGCCCTAGGCTGGGGTACCGCGCTATATAAGACCACTTATTATTATTATTATTATTATTTAGTAATTTTAGGTAATTTTTTTAGAAAATCAATGTTTAGTTTCAGGACGCGAAAAGGGGGTTGGGGTTAGGCTTAGACTTCAATAGATAACAGTACAATACTTTTAAAAAACGTTTTATTATGTTAGAAACGTAGACATCATTACATAGATACTTCTTTTATAATTACGGAATTGTGTTGAGCAAGTGGAATTAATCACAAAGTGCCTGCCATTCTTATCTCGATAACATCGGATGATATTTTTTTAGTTATTAGTAATCGACCTATCTGAGTCGATAAAGAAAGATCATGTAGACCAAAATGTATACATGCATTTAAAAAATAACCAAAAATTTTAATGCGTTTCTTTAAATACAAATATAGTAGAACCAGGTTATGTCACCGGCCTCAGTGTTTGCCAAAAAGCGTCGAGATAGCCGATGATCGAGATAACCGAAAATTAATAAGGTTCGCAAAATATTAACAGTTTCTTGAAATTTCTTTATGTACATAAGATAAGATAAGTTTCTTTTATTGATCCAAACTAAATGGAAATGTTTTATGATTGCATTATAAATACACTAATTTGAAAAGACATTTATAATAAATTAGTTAAAACAGTCATTCAGTGATTTCTCTTAGCCAAATCGGGTATTTATTAGTTCTAATTAAGATGTATGACTTCAGAGGACCACGCTGGTAAATTCGATCAGATTGGGGAATAAAATAATTTTTGTATCTTTCAGTCCTCACCCTGATGGACAGAATTCGTCCCGAACGGGCCGATCCTAATATCTGTGATTAAGAGGGTGGGAAGTATCATCCAAAATGTGTTTAGTTTTACAAAAAAACATCTTTCTTCAAATAGTTCTTCAAGGGAAGGATGTTTAGTTTGTGTTATGTTCCTAGCTTTCTTGATTAGTCGGTTTATGCGGTGTTTAATATCCGACGTTAAATTCCCACACCAGCAGGTAATACTGAAATTAAGTAGGCTTCCAATAGTTGCACTGTAGAATAAGTTAACGACTTGCTTGTTTACACCGAAATTATACAGTATTTTGAGGTAGAACAGTCTTTTGTTGAATTTCTCATACAGCATTTGAACGTGCTCATGCCATGTTAGCTGATTGTTAATGGTTACACCTCACTACTTGTATGCCTCCATTTTCTCTACACTTTGATTTTTTGTGTTGAGATCTGTAATCTGGTGTGTCCCTCTCCTGAAATCAACAACCATTTCCTTTGTTTTTGAGACATGGAGCTGGAGAAAATTTTCATCGCACCAATTGATAAAGCTTGTAACTAAGTTACGGTATAAGCCTTCCCCTTCAGATATTAAGCCAACAATCGTGGTATCATCAGCAAATTTTAAGATTGAAACGGTGTCGCTTGAGCTTTGAATATCATTGGTATATATTGTATACAGTACACGGGAGGGAACTCAGCCTTGTGGTGCCCCGGTGCTTATTTCTCATATTGTGTGTTGAAAAATAGAACGCACATGCACGTGTCTTTGGAGTTGTTGTTGTTTTTTTTTTTTACCCAACAGCGTTACCACGATTTGTGCGATCGGCATGCTAACAACATAAGGCATGGTGCCAATTTTCCGGATTATACCGGAATTCCAGATTCTCGAGTTTTTATTTTCTCTCGCTCCGGATTCGCCAGTTCAGTTTATTCATATACGGCTTCTGGGTTCGAAGAACAAATCAACCAGTAAGAACGCGTGAAAGTCCAATCATCGTCCAATCATCGACAAGCGGGCTTGCTATAAATAGAACAGGTACTGCAACCTCCCTTTTTTTGTTTGCAAGCCTCTTGTTTCTTGTTGTGTCAAGTTAATTACGCGGGCATCGATATTGTCATTCATTTCAATCACTACAGTTTCAAGTAGTCACGTTCCTGTTGTATATATTTTTCAAAAGCCGGCGATTTGTCATGGGGATCGAAATAACAGAGGTTAAGTGGAAAAATTTGGCTACCTCTTGTGCTCGAGTTATCAGAGTTTGGCGACACAACCGAGGAAAAAATTCTGAGACAAAGAGATAATTTGGCGGTTACACTTCAAAAGCGTCGACATAATAGGGTTGGCGAGTTAACCGAGATCGAAACAAGTGTGTTCGACTGTAAGTGTTTTATGAAAACATACATTTATAAAATTATGATCTCGTTTTTCATTGCTTTATAAAATGTATTAGACATATTTAACAACAGAGCCATACATTTAGAGGAAAACCATATTCAAAAATGACTATGCCTAGCACTGATGCCTCAAGAAACTTGGGGTACAATTTGAATTATTTCAAACATTCACTGTGTCTAACATACTCTGTTTTTAATGCAATGTCTTATGTGACGTCAGTTCTACATTATAATGTCTTACACGCCAATGTGATTATTGCATTGTCGTATGTGACGTCAGAATTACTTTGGATTAGCTTACATACTCTACTCTGTGATGATGGCAAAGTCTTATGTGACGTCAGACCTACTTTGTAATTGCTTACATACCCTACTCTGTGGTGATGGCAATGTCTTAGGTGACTAAAGCCCTACCACGTAATCGCGTGCATACTAATGTTGCCATTGCATTGTCTTAGGATTTATAAGCCGTGAGACCCACCTTGCAATGTTTTAATGGCCACTTTTCTCGGGGGTGCATCTGAGTCTGTCTCTAGGACACCTTCGTACACACAACCAAAATTACCTGTCAATAAAGGACAATGTCTTCAAGATTAATCAATTTTAAGGAGCCTCGAGTCTAAACGAACTAAAGAGACACTCGGGCTCACTAATCCAATGAATTGGTCGATACTTATTGATTCCACATCAACACGTTCAATGACGTCAGAAATAGAATACAAACATGGCCTACCTTTTCTTAATTGGCCAAGTATAAATTATTTGAAATTTTATTGAAAAAAAAATTAAATCCTTAACTTGCTGTAACCCTAATGCGTATGAAGTTAAAATCTCACCAGATCCAATACACTTCCCGACAGTCAGTTTGTCCGAGGTGTATATTAATCTGTCCATGTCGTGTCTGGCGTCCGCCTCAACAACGGATTCTAAAATTTGTTTTAACGTTGGGGAAGAAGCTTCTCTGCAGGCTGAAGTAAATTATTAATGTTTTAAAAAATAAAACCATAATATCAATGTATACAATCATCACATATCGCACGTATTAATAATAACAATATCACAGGTTAACATTATAATCAATGTTCCCTTTAAGCTGCGCTTTGGCTCGACCGCGCAGCTATCTACAACTCGCCGAGCAGCGGTTTTGAGTTTCGCAGTGCACCAAATTTTAATAAGGATAAAATCGGATAAATGTGCTGCACTCAGCAACCGGAGCTATACAGTTTTTATAACATATAAATACATGTTTTGAAATTTGAACTTCAGATCTATATTTTTTATCATACATTTTATGTAGAACTATTGAATTACATGCTTACTGATACCTACCGGAATAGACCCCCTCGATCTAAGCCCCCAATCGCTACCAATCATGTAATGTTCGTGGCGCAGTTTGCGAAGTGAATGGGTATAAAGTGAATATATCAAATATCTTCTAGTTGATCATAAGTGAATCGGCCAATTATTTAAAAGATTTATTTTGAGATAATATACGGTCTCCTTTGTACGAGCGGGAAACTTATCTACACCATTGTTTGCACCCGCGGTCAGATAGCGTATCTTGGTGAGACAGGACGACGCTGTGCTGACATATTTACTAAACATCTCCGTATTATTGCGCAAGCTAAGCAGTGTCCCGTCTCAAACAACTTCAATGGAAGCGATCACATGGGTTCGGAGGATGTTGCTGTCCCCGCCCAAATGTTTTGTACAAACACACGGAATACGGTGAATTTTGAAAAATAACTGATTCTGACATTTGCAACCTTGACACCACATTGGCATAAATATCATGTTCTTTTTCATGTTTAAACCTTTTCTCTGCTCCTCCTCATTCACACCAATCTCAGTGGACTTACTTTTTCTCACTTCAGTCCCATTTTGCCTGGTTTTAATCTCTCCCTTACTTATGTTTTATCATATTCCTCTTGCTGTCCTCATGGATACTACATTGCAGCTGAGTGTTATTTTTATTTGATTTTGTTTTTAATTTTGTTTTTACGCCGAAGAAGGCTTCTTTCCGACACGTTCGTGGGTTTGTTGCGTCACATTTATAAAAAAGTTTTCCCAATACTTTGTTGCACTCATTTCCTTTTTCAAACCTAACCAGACCTCAGTCTCTCGCCCTAATTACATTGTAAAAATCATTTAACGTAAACGTGAGATAAGCCAACATGAGCGTCTTCGCTCGCTAATAAAAAGTATAAGATCAATGTTTTAAAAGGTATGGCTAAGTGAATGAGTGGATGCTGCACAGAATGGATTTTCAAGCTGTGTCATATTTTCATATATCATGCTATTAACGATCATGTTGATTTGGAAGTGTGCTTCAAAGCCAATGCAGAAAATGGAAGGATTGGAAGCTGGATTATCTAAAGCGACACATCCACAAAGAAATACATATGATGATCGAGTGAATCTAGTTTTGTAAGCATCACTGAGCTCCGTGCCCAGTGCCTTGGTGAAAAATGTGCACTGCACCAAAGATGTTGCTGAATTGCTCGCAAACGACGAGGGCATGACCCGAGTTGCAGCATAATATTCGTTCAATTTTTATGTTTGTACACGTACTCTCGCCCCTCTCAAAGTAAGTTGAGGGAATGTTCAATCTTTAAGATATCAACGTAAGTCGAGATTTTAAGATTTTAATATCAACAATGTAGAAATGCATCACTGGTTTCCAGCTTGGCCGAATGTCTGGAAACTATGTTGACATTTTGAGGAAATTTAAGGATCAGAATTACAAATTAAGGTTTGTGCTTGCAGAAAAAAAATTAAATGTCAGTTGATGCAGACTTTTGATGAGATGGTTCGATTTGTAATAAATAAGGACCAGTTCGGTGCCATTCTTTTGGACATTTGTTACTACATTTCTAGCATTAATCGTACGAAGTTGTGAGCAAGGATCCAGACTATCAGTACAAAAATATTATCTAGGAAATAAAATCTAGAAGTATTATATTTAGCCATGCTTATGAGGATCAAATCGTATCATATTAAAGGATGTCAGATCAAGCTTGACGATGTGTATTAATTATGGATCTCTTTGAATAACGGGCTACAGAGTAACCACAGAAATACAGAAATGAATCAAATGACTAGTAGCCATTTGTAGTGGATTTGTTGACATAATTTAGTTGCTTGAGCCTTTGAAGGGAATATAATTATTTCATTACAATTCATTTATTTATTTTCGCAATCAGCACTTTGCACTTACGTTAATTTATATAATTTTGCATGTGTTTGTCTGGTATAAAATTTTGCAGCGACAAAAAGTGATGCTGTAAATGTATGCACACGATCCAGACACCCTTAAAGGGAGCATTGATTATATATTCAATGGTTTGAATGATAATCGTTAATGGATTAGAATAATGGTTAAATATCATACAGATATACTAGAATAACTACCTGACTGGGCTTCAGCTAAGGCTATTAGTGATGATGGCTCATTTTTCAGCATTTTCGCTTTTTTCACCTTCATAACTAGAGTCACTGTTACTATAATTAGAATCAAGATGACCAGACCAGCTCCTCCTGCGACCGCAAACATGAAGGATTTGAAAGAGTCGACATTTTCATCCAAGACCACTCGCACTGACCCAAGGTCAGCCTTAAAGTTGCCGATCTCGACTGTCACGCCATATTCAGGGATCTGATTTTGATCGTTCGGTCCACTTGGGAGGTAGTGCGTTGTTGTGGACGTCGTGCTGGCACTTTGGGATAGGGGGGTATAGTTTGAGACCAAACGACGAACTTGAAAACCACGAGTCACAGTTTCAGGTGTTGTAGTTTTAGGTACAAGACTACTTGTGCCACTGCTGTTCCTCATTTTCGATTGCAGGCTTTTATCTGCCAGTTTATCGCGTGCTTTGACTTGTTTAATGACCTCACTGGCATCACACTGGATGTTACTTTCATTTACCGTTACAACTGGACAAGGTTTGCCCCCGAACGTCACTTTGATTTCTTGCTTATTTATAAATGTAGGCATGTACGTGCCCTGGTGAAGAAAAATGAATAGGAATGAAATGGGGCATAGGGCAGACGATCAGAATTGACTTCATCAACAATTTTGTTTTCAAAAAACCCTATGTTTATAAGTCTGAACTTCTTTAAATGACTACAGACAACAAAGTTGATCATCTGTCTCCACACGGTCAGCCCCAGCGTGTGTAACAAACAGTTTCACAATGACAGGATTGAAAAGACAAAAGAAATGTGTAAGCTGTGTTTTAGCTGTGTCCGTAATGGTAGCCTAAACTGCAAAATGTTTTGCTTTAGATAACTTCTGGTCCAACTCAAATTAACCCCAGGTCAGGCCACCCGTCTTGAGTTAAGCTACTGCTGACTGAACAACAACGAAGATTAATTAAGATAAAGAGAATTTTATCAATCTGATGTTTAAGTGAAAGAGTATAACTACTTTACTCTAAAAATACAACAACTTTTATTTTGACCCCAATGAGTTGCTCTGTTTCAGGAATGTAAAGAGAGGGGATGGTGGGGAAGAAAGGACCCGAGAAATAGTGTTAGAGTGAAGAGGACATGTTCAATAATCTTAAGGGTTGGAAATGGTAAATACCTTTGAAAAAGGTGCAGGGTTTCCATAAGAAAAACTAGCACTATCCAAAGAGATAAGTTAAAAAATACCTTTAGCACGAGCACTGGGTTACGCTCAGAAAGACTAATGTTCGTCGAAGAGATAGGTGCAAAAATTGGATCGCGGTACATTTTTACTGTTTCCGGTTTCGTTGAGGGAACCAATCGGTTGTTGTCCATTTCAATGTTTAGCTCTGCTATGACAAATTGGACAGTATGGTTCCCAAAGACTTGTTGAGTGATGTCTGACATATCTGGCGCCTTACATGTGACCCTTGATGTTGATCTGCTACTGCTACAATTCCCAAAACTGATCTGTAAAAAAAATAGTTCAAAAACTTAAATGGGAAAGCGTTTTCTATCTTTTAATATCTTACAACTTTAATAGATTTATTTCTTTTAATAAAGTCAAAAAATATTAATATTATGTGAATGCATGAATGGAAAAAATGCTGATATTTTACGGTGCACACACGCATCGAGGGTATTGACAAAACAAACCTCAACCAAAATAAGATGGTTTGTATAGGTCTTTGTCGGTGGCCATTTTATTTATTATTCACCGTGCAATTCTAGTTAAATGTAACTTATCGCAGATGTCGCACCACAATTCGTTTCATTTTCGAATGTGAGTTTTGAATCAATTATCAAGAGAAATTGTTGGAAAAAAAATGAAGCATTATGCGTTGCCGTATCAATAATAATCAATAAAGAGTTGACATTTCCGCTAAGGGGAGCAATCATAGCTAAATATTTACCAAATACTTTGCAAAATTTGAATGTCATCATGTAAGAAATATGTTCCTTATGCTTAAATGAACATTGAGATCAAAACCCTAAATATAATCATTAGAATGAGAAGTCTCTAGAGTACCATGAACCTACTTCAGTTTAGTTTTTGTTATTTGGCTAAACTATGAATTGAAACTGTTGCCAGACCGTTAAATCGTGTGATTTTAGTTCTGTACCTGATTTCAGGAAACATATGTGTGTGGTTTGGATTTTGCTGGAAATTGTTCGGTAACATAGTCCAATTTCACGGCCTATTCATAAAAGAAAATACTCGTCAGGTTTTGAGGAGAGTTGAAAGAAAGAAGCGTTCAGCCAGGTAGCAAGAGTCTCCATTTGTTGACAAACGTACCTGATTCTCGTAGATAAAGACAACTTGGGCACACGCAGCACTATCGAGGTGAGAACCAGTCACGGTCATGTTGATACCACCACTGAAAGTTATAGAGTTTGAATAGATGAACAGCTTCACTTAGTGAACTGATGAATTGCTTCACAAAGTAAGTAGATGAATAGCTTCACAAAGTAAGTAGATGAACAGCTTCAATGAGTGAGTAGATGAATAGCTTTATTACGTTAGTAGATGAGTAGCTTCACACACTGAGTAGATGAATAGCTTTATTAAGTGAGTATATGAATAGCTTCACTAAGTGAGTAGATGACTAGCTTCACTAAGTGAATAGATGAATAGCTTCACGAAGTAAGTAGATGAGTAGCTTCCCTAAGTGAGTATAGTATACAGGTGAACAGATTGTACAAGTGACTAGATTAAAGACTGACAGGTTAGATACGCATCGACTTAACTTTGTTAAAAACTGACGAGTTCGAATAGATACATATTTGAAAAGATCAATACGTTCAGGGGAAAATAATATATTGAATGGACACATTATTTTAATAGATGACAATAAATTATCGTTACTTTAATTCATTGATTATTTCATTAAAAAAAACTAACGAAATTAACATATGTTATGGTTTATTGATATCAATTTTTGAAGTGCTAGTTTTATGCGAAACGAGAATAAAAAAAAGGTTGACCATTGAAACTTACTCAAATGGAATAGTAAACACATGCTAATTAACATACATATATTATAGGCAACGTAACGGACAAATACAAGTTACCAGCTAGTACATTTGGGACAAGACAATTTCTTACAATTAAAACATTTGACATTGAACTAAGATTGAACGAGTCATTAGTTAATATAAACTAAGATTGAACTAATTATGAGGTAATATAAACTAAGATTGAACTAGTCATGAGGTAATATAAACTAAGATTGAACGAGTCATTAGTTAATATAAACTAAGATTGAACTAATTATGAGGTAATATAAACTAAGATTGAACTAGTCATTAGGTAATATAAACTAAGATTGATCGAGTCATTAGTTAATATAAACTAAGATTGAACGAGTCATTAGTTAATATAAACTAAGATTGAACTAATTATGAGGTAATATAAACTAAGATTGAACTAGTCATGAGGTAATATAAACTAAGATTGAACTAGTCATGAGGTAATATAAACTAAGATTGAACTAATTATGAGGTAATATAAACTAAGATTGAACGAGTCATTAGTTAATATAAACTAAGATTGAACTAATTATGAGGTAATATAAACTAAGATTGAACTAATTATGAGGTAATATAAACTAAGATTGAACTAGTCATTAGGTAATATAAACTAAGATTGAACTAGTCATTAGGTAATATGTTACCTTGCTAAAGTCTCCCGAGGGTTGATATCGGTTATTTCAGGATTTTCCTTATAAGAAAAGGTAGAGTTGATAACACTTTGGTTGAGATTATCAAAAGAGATCAACACAGGACCAACGTGGGGCCCATGGTCATGATGTCTTGTCCGGCACTGGAGGACATTGCTGACATTATGTGGAGGAGAGTTGAATGAGTCGAAAACATACACATTATAATGGAGGAGATTTGAATGGATATAAAAGATACACATTTTATTGCAGGAGATTTGAATGGATTTAAAAGATACACATTTTATTGCAGGAGATTTGAATGGATATAAAATATACACATTTTATTGCTAGAGATTTGAATGGATATAAAACATACACATTTTATTGCAGGAGATTGGAATTGATATAAAACATACATATTTTATTGCAGGAGATTTGAATGGATATAAAACATACACATATAAATGGAGGAGATTTGAATGTGTATAAAACATTTACATAGGTCTATAGTTCTTTTGTTGACATATCAATAATACAACAATTCTTTGAAATCAATCAAACAGCGATAACTCGTTAAAAAATACGGATTTCCACAATGCTTCCCTTTACAGATCCTCTCCTCACAACCAGAATATTACTACCATGTCACTCTCCTCCACCCCCATCATCTACTCTTTCATAATCAATGAAACCCGTTTTCAATAGGACGCAATTGCATATTCAGCAAATGCAACGCTTTTTACTGTGTCTTATAGTGTTGGTTCCAGACAGACATGCGACTTGAATTATGCTATTTAATATTAGTTAATGATTTATTTCCCCAAACGCCCCCCTTACCTGCCCCCTCTGACCACTACTGTAACGTTATCACATTCATGACCGGCCACTTCAATGCGTGTCACGTTGCTCTCGTTAAGGTGCTGGCCTTGAAACTCAAGCAATGTGCCCCCAAAGCGAGGTCCATAATTTGGGTTAAAAGAAAACACTTTTGGCGACTGAAAAAAAAAAGTTAAAGAAATTATAAACCATTAAAAATGATGATAATCATGAACATTAATAATAATAACAATAGTAATAATGATAATTAAAATAAACATTTATTTTGAAATTGTCTCAAAAGTTTCATTATTCAAAATAGATACTTTATATTAGTCACACATTATTAGAGAATGCGTAATCAATGAAACAATTAATAGAGTCAACTAATGTAAGGATTAATGATGTCCAGTTATGTAAGGATTAATGATGTCCAGGAGTTAAGGATTATCGATATCCTGTAATGTAAGGATTAATCATGTTCAGTAATGTAATGATTAAGGATTACCCGTTAAGTAAGGCTTAATAATGGCTAGAATCTTACTTTTACTAAACGCAACAGCTCAATCGAAAAAGTCTGGTAAAAGGTTTTTCGAAATATATGAACTCTAACCCAAGGTTACGCCATACTGCGGTGAGTGTAGACATGACTAAATCGTGTCCTTTATTGTTAAAAAGTGATAAATATGCAAACATTATGTCTATTGTCTTAGAGGGCCATACGGAGGGAAACAAATCTCCAAATCAGCAGTGTAAAATATCTTTTGAAATTGGCTCTCGCGTGGGCCTTGTGATGGTCACCAAATATTAGTCTGAATTATAAACTTTCAAAATTGATAGAAATTCTCCACACAGAGAGTCGTGATCAAGTAGATATCGCATTGTTTGCTTGGACTTAAAGTATGTTCATTTGTGAATGGAGTCTATTTAATTTTTTCGTAATTGTGATTATTTTGGTCTTTATTGTAACGAGTATTTGTGATAAACATTGATGGACTGGTGTGTCCGAGGTGTCTGGGACATATATCTGATGGCATGGAGAGACCAAGGTGTCTGGGACATATATCTGATGGCATGGAGAGACCAAGGTGTCTGCGACATATCTTTCATGGACTTGAGTTTCCAAGGTGTCAGGGAAAAACATCGGATGAAATGGATTGTCTGATGAGTCCGGGAATATATGTGATGGACTGGAGTGCCTTATGTGTCCCGGGCATATAACTGGTGGACTGGAGTGTCCCAGCTTACGGGGACACATACTGTATCTTGGGGCTTATACACAAAGCTCTATTGTTCTGTAGAAGCCAAAGTTCCATTGTTCTGTAGAAGCCAAAGCTCTATTGTTCTGTAGAAGCCAAAGTTCCATTGTTCTGTAGAAGCCAAAGTTCCATTGTTCTGTAGAAGCCAAAGCTCTATTGTTCTGTAGAAGCCAAAGTTCCAATTTTCTGTAGAAGCCAAAGTTCCATTGTTCTGTAGAAGTGACCAAGGCGGCCCGAATATCACTAGCACTAATATTGACGACCTTTATTTGTCCCGTTAAGTAGCAATGTTAAAGTACAGTTAAAGATATACTTTGTCTAAAAAGGAGATGGGAGTTGGACGATTCATTCTTTCATTTAACAAATGTACCTTAGATCCAAAAGCCACCTGGAGACTTGATAAAATCACAGATAAAATAAACAGTAAAGTCATTATGTTCCTTTCGATTGTCAGTTCATCATAAAGTCATTTAGTTAGGTGATTTAACATTTGCACGCAGATGCTGAAAAAAATAAGATAAACATTTACCATCATAAGTTGGCCCAATAAACACCACTTACAACATATAGTGTTGGCCTCGAATCTAGGTAAACAACTTACAACATAAAGTGTTGGCCTCGAATCTAGGTAAACAACTTACAACATTTAGTGTTGGCCTCGAATCTAGGTAAACAACTTACAACATATAGTGTTGGCCTCGAATCTAGGTAAACAACTTACAAGATATAGTGTTGGCCTCGAATCTAGGTGATAATGTCGGTCCCATTACCGTTTTAAATAAACCCCTCTTACCAAATATATAATGTTATCCTAGAATCTAGTGGAAAATATTGGTCTCACCAGTGTTTTTAAAGAAAGAGTTCACGGTAAAGATGTATCTACTGCGTCACATTAAATCAATGCGTAAATATGTCCAAATGTTTACACTATTTCAGAATCAAATACATGTACATAGATGGCTTCTATTTTAAAACTGTTTACGCAGATATGTCCGTGAGAGTGCCAACGTCATAAGCCCATCATTGACACTATCTGTATCCGGCGTTAGAGAAAGTCTTACACGTGTGATTTTTGTTAGGTTTAACAATAATTTGCAGTTATATTTTTCAGTTTTTTCGTCCATTAGGTACAAAAAATTGGCGTCCAAATTTAGCACATACCTTAAACTAACTGAAATGGTGTAACAACAGTGCTTAAGTCAATACCGCAAAGTGAATATTTTCTAACTCACTGAAACGCGATGTTGGTCAACTTTTTAGAATATCTCTTTTGCTAAGTTTCCTTGATGCAGTTAAAAAGCTCCCCCCCCCTCAACTAAAGTATAAGATGACCTGGAATAAATAAAGTATAATATTTAAAAAGATGAATGATATTGAGAAGCAATCCGCAATTATATAGGCACACATCGTACGTCTCTGTTAATCCTTGCCGAATACGACTGAAAAAGTAAATGTCGGTGTCAATGTTATCATCTTGAATGTACTATTTATGTTTCACATAAGATCTGAGAAGTTATTTTATTTTATTTATGTTATTTCTCACACAGCACATCTCCCTGTACCATTTGCCTACTTCAAAAAAATGCCTTTTTGAAACATTGGTTTGGAATGATTATTAAAATCAAATGTCCTCCCTTTAGTCGATCTAAATATCTCCAATTTAATCCTATAGCATTCTATTTTAACATCCTCTTTCATAAAAAGAAAGTAAAAACTACTCCAAGTAATGAAAAAGTAAACAACACCTTTAAATATAAAAGAAAACTACGAAACAATACAATAAACTTGCAGGGAGCCATGATGATACTTAGCTAAATATAGCAACTTTAAAAGGCTCAAGTGTAACTTCCGCAATCAACAGGGCGAGTAGCAAGACATGTCTTGACGGACTCGTTTAGTTTAACACACTACACAATGCGTGATAACACAAACGTGTTGCTACTTAAAATAGCAATCGTGGTAAAATGGCAGTTACGTTGTCAACACAACCAGATTAAATTCACCTTAATTTTATACGAACAAAATCTAAAATAAACACCGGAACCAACTGAAGTGAAAAGTCGTGTAACATTGTCATCACCATTGACATAATATTATAGTCGCATTGTTTCGTTCATTACAGTCATAACATTTGATCCCTTTTTCTTTTGATACAAAAATTGATTCAGTATAAACAGTAATGGTATAGTATACAATAATGTTCCTATACTGTATGACAGCTATTAAGCCCGAATGTTTGACGCTTCACCGACACAACACACATATTTAAGACATATACAAAAGCCATATCAGATATAAAGCACTATACCAGCGGTTCTCAACCTGTGGGTTGCGACCCCGGTTGCGACACTTTTGGGGATCGCATGACCCTTTCCCAGGGGTCGCCTAAGACAATCCGAAAACACATATATTCTATAGTTATGAAAAAGCAACGAAAATAATATTTTATTTGGGGGTCGCCACAATATGAGGAACTGTAATAAAGGGTCGCGACATAAGGAAGGTTGAGAACCACTGCACTATAGTCTACTCTTTAGGGTTTCATGTCATCTATCTTTAATTGCTATTAAATGTACGATTAATACTTCAGATTGCTTCTACGTGACATCCGTCCGTCAAAATGAACAATGGTCTAGACTTCGCAGGACGAAATCCGGAAAGGCCTGGGGTTAATTTTTTTAAAATTATAAGCTGGTTCCCTACACAGCAAATCGCATCTCTCCTCGCTGCTTTATAACCCAAGGGAACATCAAGTGGATGATACAGCTTGGCACCAGTGGCGTCGCAGGAGTTGTCGGAATGTTTCATTGTGGCCATGTAATCCGCCCACGGGACTCCACCTCCGGGTTTGAATTCAGAATTGCCTTCTCTTAGATGAGTTGCAATACAAGGTTAACGAGTCCCACCTATCCTTAAAAGTATTGGCAGATTTAACCGGCGGTTGGGCAAACATTATTTAGTTTGTTCTCTTGCTACGTTTTAATCTAACTTCTACTCAAAGTTTGCGTATTCAATCTCTCTGAACTCAATGACTGTTTTCTTCAATGTCTAGATGTGAGCAACATGGGTGTACCCTTTCAAGTACACTAACGTTATATGCAGCTCCTTCATACAAAAACCAATTACCACAACGTCGTTTTAAGTAGATACAAACTTAAAAGATGCTTGAAACATTATTAAAGAAAAACCTTTAACTCAAAGGATTATAAAGACATACCACAAGTGCTTGTAGAAACATCTCTATTGAACGACGATAGAGTCACAAAACTATAAAAGACAAAACAAGAATTAGTTATTAACAGAATTAGTACACTATCCAGCACTGGATCAGTACCCTACTTAGCTATTAACTCAATTAGTACATTATCCAGCACTGGACAAGTACACTAATAGTATACTATCCAGCACTGGAACAGTATTTAATTAGTAAATTATCCAGCACTGGATCAGTACCCTACTAGTATACTATCCAGCACTAGACCAGTATCTTAGTAGTGCACTATCCATCACTGAATATGTATCCTATTAGTACACTATCCTGCTCTGGATCAGTACAATACTAGTACACTATCCAGCAATGGACCAGTACCCTTACTAGTACACTATCCAACAATGGAATCAGTAAACTACAAGTACACTATCCAGCACTGGAATATTACCGTAATAATATATTATCCAGTGCTGGATCAGTACCCAACTAGTACACTATCCAACACTGGATCAGTATCCTACTAATACACTATCAAGCACTGGATCAGTACTATATTAGTACACTTTTTAGCCCTGGCTTAGTACCCTATAAGTACACTATCCAGCACAAGATAAGTACACTACTAGCATGCTATCCAGCACTGGAATAGTGCCCTTCTAGTACACTATCTAACACTGGATTAGTACCCTTCTAGAACACTATCCAGCACTTGATTTATACACTACTAGTTACACTATCCAGCAATGGATTAGTACCATACTGAAGTAACTCAATAAATAAACAAGATTTTTCGGAACCATAGGATTTCAAAAAAAAAATGTAAAAATAAGTAACGTTTATAAACTTTAAAAAAATTACATTAGACAATTTCACCTAGAATTTAGAATGGCATGGTTAATGTCCAACTGTGACATTTCAATCACACCACAACACAACTGTCAGCAATTTAACCAGTGACGAATTGAAAGATCAAATATTTGATTATAATGTGTTCAACTCGTAGCCTTGTCTGCCCAAACAAAACACAGTGTCAGTTTCTATTTCCAAACTATTTATAATGTAATTAAGTCATTGAAGTGTATGTGTACTTACATGAGACTAAGTCATTGAAGTGTCTGTGTACTTACATAAGACTAAGTCATTGATGTGTCTGTGTACTTACATGAGACTAAGTCATTGATGTTTCTGTGTACTTTAATCAGACTAAGTCATTGATGTGTCTGTGAACATACATGAGACTAAGTCATTGATGTGTCTGTGTACTTACATGAGACTAAGTCATTGATGTGCCTGTGTACTTAATTGAGACTAAGTCATTGATGTGTCTGTGTACTTACATGAGACTAAGTCATTGATATGTCTGTGTACTAATATGAGACTAAGTCATTGATGTGTCTGTGTACTTACATGAGACTAAGTCATTGATGTGTATGTGTACTTACATGAGACTAAGTCATTGATGTGTCTGTGTACTTACATGAGACTAAGTCATTGATGTGTATGTGTACTTAAATGAGAATAAGTCATTGATGTGTCTGTGTACTTACATGAGACTAAGTCATTGATGTGTCTGTGTACTTACATGAGACTAAGTCATTGATGTGTCTGTGTATTTACATGTGACTAATTCACTGATGTGTATGTGTACTTACATGAGACGAAGTCATTGATGTGTCTGTGTACTTACATGAGACGAAGTCATTGATGTGTCTGCGTACTTACATGAGACTAAGTCATTGATGTGTATGTGTACTTACACGAGACTAAGTCATTGATGTGTCTGTGTACTTACATACTTACATGAGACCAAGTCATTGATGTGTCTGTGTACTTATATGAGACTAAGTCATTGATGTGTCTGTGTATTCACATGAGACTAAGTCAGAGATTTGTCTGTGTACTAACATGAGACTAAGTCATTGATGTGTCTGTGCACTTACATGAGACTAAGTCAATGATGTTTCTGTGAACTTACATGAGACTAAGTCATTGATGTGTCTGTGTACTTACATGAGACTAAGTCATTGACTTGTCTGTGTACTTACATGAGACTAACTCATTGATGTGTCTGTGTACTTATATGAAACAAATTCATTGATGTGTCTGTGTACTTACATGAGACTAAGTCATTGATGTGTATATGTACTTACATGAGACTAAGTCATTGATGTGTATATGTACTTACATGAGACTAAGTAATTGATGTGCCTGTGTACTTAATTGAGACTAAGTCATTGATGTGTCTGTGTACTTTCATGAGACTAAGTCATTGATGTGTCTGTGTACTTACATGAGAAGAAGTCATTTATGTGTCTGTGTACTTACATGAGACCATGTCATTGATGTTTATGTGTACTTACATGAGACTAAGTGATTGATGTGTCTGTGTACTTACATACGACTAAGTCATTGATGTGTCTGTGTACTTACATGAGACTAAGTCATTGATGTATCTGTGTACTTACATGAGACTAAGTCATTGATGTTTCTGTGTACTTACATCAGACTAAGTCATTGATGTGTCTGTAAACTTACATGAGACTAAGTCATTGATGTGTCTGTGTACTTACATGAGACTAAGTCATTGATGTGTCTGTGTACTTACATGAGACTAAGTCATTGATATGTCTGTGTACTTATATGAGACTAAGTCATTGATGTGTCTGTGTACTTACATGAGACTAAGTGATTGATGTGTCTGTGTACTTACATGAGTCTAAGTCATTGATGTGTCTATGAACTTACATGAGACTAAGTCATTGATATGTCTGTGTACTTACATGAGAAGAAGTCATTGATGTGTCTGTGTACTTACATGAGAAGAAGTCATTGATAGGTCTGTGTACTTACATGAGAAGAAGTCATTGATGTGTCTGTGTACTTACATGAGACAAAGTCATTGAAGCATCTGTGTACTTACATAAGACTAAGTCATTGATGTGTCTGTGTTCTTACATGAGACTAAGTCATTGATGTGTCTGTGTACTTACATGAGACTAAGTCTTTGATGTGTATGTGTACTTACATGAGACTAAGTCATTGATGTGTCTGTGTACTTACATACGACTAAGTCATTGAAGTGTCTGTGTACTTACATGAGACTAAGTCATTGATGTGTCTGTGTACTTACATGAGAATAAGTCATTGATATGTCTGTGTACTTACATGAGACTAAGTCATTGATGTGTCTGTGTACTTACATGAGACTAAGTCATTGATGTGTCTGTGTACTTACATGAGACTAAGTCATTGATGTGTATGTGTACTTCCATGAAACTAAGTCATTGATGTGTCTGTGTACTAACATGAGACAAGTCATTGATTTGTCTGTGTACTTACATGAGACGAAGTCATTGATGTGTCTGTGTACTTACATGAGACTAAGTCATTGAGGTGTATGTGTACTTACATGAGACTAAGTCATTGATGTATCTGTGTACTTACATAAGACTAAGTCATTGAAGTGTCTGTGTACTTACATGAGACTAACTCATTGATGTGTCTGTGTACTTATATGAAACAAATTCATTGATGTGTCTGTGTACTTACATGAGACTAAGTCATTGATGTGTATATGTACTTACATGAGACTAAGTCATTGATGTGTATATGTACTTACATGAGACTAAGTAATTGATGTGCCTGTGTACTTAATTGAGACTAAGTCATTGTTTTGTCTGTGTACTTTCATGAGACTAAGTCATTGATGTGTCTGTGTACTTACATGAGAAGAAGTCATTGATGTGTCTGTGTACTTACATGAGACCATGTCATTGATGTTTATGTGTACTTACATGAGACTAAGTGATTGAAGTGTCTGTGTACTTACATACGACTAAGTCATTGATGTGTCTGTATACTTACATGAGACTAAGTCATTGATATTGTGGAGAGTTCAGACCACGACGGCGCCGGGGGCGTCTGACGTAACCGTCTGACCAGGGATTACGGCCGTCTGACCAGGTACAGCCGGCCCCATCTGACCTGGGATCACGACCGAGGGATCAAGCGCTGGGGGCGGAACTGGCCATCCATCTGACCAGGGCATTTCCCTGGTCTGTTTGTAATCTGGCGCCAATTGAGAAAAAGGGGCGGGATATAATGCGCAGTCCAGACCTGGGAGAGGAACTATGGGACAGGGAGGTATAAATAGGGTTCTTTGGACGGGACGAGAGGAAGAAGGCGGCCGGACTGAGAACTAGATAGCAGGGAGAAGTCAGAGTTGTGAGACGAGTGAAAGTGTAAGCAAGTGACAGCAAATAAAGAACACGAGTTTAATCATCAAATGTATCACCGGAGTTGTTTCCTTATTGAGTACCAGATCTAGATGAAGTTTGTCAGAGAGTAAGCAAGGTTGCCCTACAATGGTGGCAGCGGTGGGATTCTTAACCTTGCAACGACTCCGAAGAGACGTACATTTTCGTTAGCCTGACTAGATGAAAAGTACAAGGCGCGGAAGATTGACAGCAAGCACAATGTCTTCACAGCACTTACACAACATCCCAACGTACAGTGGAACCTCTACATGGCACACTTTTATCGTGCAGTTTGAGACCTCGGCAAGAATTTTCAAGTGGAGTGATGACGATAAACTCCTCTATCTCTGCTTTTCACTGAAGGATGCAGCTGCGGAATTCGCGTACAGCGAATTAAGCGAAGCTGAGAGGGACAGCTACGAGAAACTCAAGGATGCCCTGGCTAATCGGTTTAAGGACCATCGAACACCTGCATTCTTTCAAAATGTTTTAGACAAACGCACGTTCTTGAAATCAGAGACTACAGCTGAGTACGCTACAGACCTCAAGAGATTGGTTACAAAAAGCTTCCCAATGGCAGACCAGGCTACAAGAGATGCCATTGGGTTTAAACAGTTCTTACGTGGGCTGCCTGACCAGTCTATGGCGACACAAGTTGGCACTATGGCTGTTCCTCCCACCGTGGACAAGGCGAGAGCTGCCTTGGATACAATCTTAAATCTGAGGGACAACGTTTGTTTACCAACACAGCAAGTAGCATCAATGGCTACCGACAATTTGGCCAGAGAGGTTAGCGGCCTGAGAGAGGACCTTAGGGAATTCATGGCCTCACAGCGAGGGGCAGTTACTCATTCGGCACGTGAAGGTAATCGGAGGGCGGAACTCAGATGTTTTGGCTGTGACCGAATCGGTCATATTTCACGGAATTGCCCAAACCAAGAGACCATTAGGACGAAATCTTCGTCGTTAAAACTAAATCACATCTCATCGAAGTCAAATGTTCACAACCTTCGTCCTAATTTTGTGTTTGTGCCTGTGAAAGTGTGCGGCGTTAGGACAGATTTCCTCATGGACACTGGAGCGGCCGTGACAATTTTGTCCAAGAGATCTTTTAATAGAATGCAGCAGAGACCGAAGTTGAATAGCCACCTCGTCCCATTACATCTACAGTCAGCCAGTGGTACGTCTATAAAACTCCATGGAGTCTGCGACCTCGACTTGCTTATTGGAGAGAAGATTTATCCATGGACGGTGCATATCGCAGACATAACCGACGATGGTTATCTAGGATTCGATTTCCTATGTCACTATGACTTTTCATTTTCAATCAAAAGGGGTCTCAACCTACATAGAGACAAGGTGCCAGTAATAACAAAATGTGTAAATTCAGTGACTCAACAGGACCAGTCTTATTCGTTGGTAGAAAACGGTGAGCTCAATGAGGAAGAGGACATCATTCCATTATCCACCACTAGTAACCAGTTGCCAGCAGCAGCTGTTGTGAAAATCAACATGGTGACGACTCGCAGAAAAACGTATCCTCCCGTGAACCCACCTAAGCCCTCGGCCGGAGGAGCAACCACAAGTGATACTGGTCGAGCAAACTGCCCTGTGGACACGCCCCTCGTACCAAGCCAACCTATCCAATTACCTTGCCCTGAGTCGACATCAAACAGGAATGATCGGAATGCTGACCGAGAGCCGGTTGCAGTGTTATGTGCAGACAATAGTGACTATAAATTCTGTGAAGGGTTAGACATATCCAAGGAAGATCTGAGAAGATTACAACAGGAAGATAATGACTTGAGTCATGTTTTTAAGTGGATCAAAGACAAAACAAAACCAAAAAGAGAGGAAATTAGTGGAGAATCGCCGGCTGTTAGGAACCTTTGGTTAAACCTTGATTTACTTATTGTTGTGGATGGAGTTTTATGTAAACGATGGTTTCATCCGGGTCGGAAGGATGAAATATTGAAAATTATGTTGCCTAGATCTCTTGTAAGCACAGTGTTAAAGAAAATGCACTCGTCAGTTTATGCTGGCCATCTCGGCATAAATAAGGTATTGGATAATGTCAGGACATACTACAGTTGGTACAGAATGAAAAGGGATGTTCAAACGTTCATCACCAACTGTGCCACATGTCAGCACATCAAACGCCCTCAAGCCAACAGTTCAGCCAGGTTACAGTCTTTTCTTACAGGATCACCACTACAAAGAGTGTGCACTGATTTTATTGGCCCTTTGCCGGTAACTAATTCTGGAAATAGATACATTCTTGTGGTAGTGGACGCGTTCACTAAATATACCCAGGCATATGCACTTCCAGACTGTTCAGCAGAAACTACGGCAGTTACCTTGGTTAACCAATTCTTCTCCATTTTTGGTTGCCCGTTAGAATTGCATTCGGATCAGGGATCCAACTATCAAAGTAGATTGTTTAGACGGGTGATGGAATTACTAGACATCAAGCAAACCAGAACATCATCCTTCCACCCAGCCAGTAACGGACAGGCCGAACGTTTTAACTCAGTGCTAATTAAGATGATATCTGCCTTCGTAGCGGACAATCAAAAGGACTGGGATGTCCACCTCCCACTGTTGACCAGTGCGTACAGAAACCATCAACACCCCAGCACTGGCTACAGCCCCAATTATTTAATGTTTGGTCGAGAGCTCTATCAACCCATTCACCTGGCAATGGGGGCTCCATTACCTGACAAATGTCTCGGTCAACCAGTACCGGAATACGTGTTGAAACTTGAACAAATGTTAGACGATGTGTATGACACCGCCAGGAAACATCTGAAGACAGCAGCTCAGCGTCAGAAACGAGACCATGACACTTGGGCGGTACAACATACCTTCAACGTGGGGGACGTAGTTCTCTATTTGGATTTAACCAAACAGGTGGGTCGAAACCCAAAATTGAACCCAAATAAATGGCGTGGACCATTCGTTGTCAGTCGAAAATTTAGTGATGTGTTGTTTGAAATTCGAGGTGAGGGAAAGACGAAGGCAAGAATAATTCACCACGACCGATTGAAACCCTATTATGTCAATAATCCACAAGACTGGATTTTAAAGCTACAAACAATTTGCCTGAGAGACAACTTCATAGGAGCCACCCCGGAGCTTCCACGAGTTCTGCAGGAAGCGTAGAGTGTTCGGGACACTTAGTTCCATTTTTTTGGATGACATTTAAATAGAATAGATTTATAGTGAATTTATGTTGTATTATTCAGTTTTCATTGTTAGTTGAACGCTGTTAGATCAAACTTGTCTGATTGTGTGAGTGTAAGAAGAGCTCTGACTGACACCAAACTGACCCTGATCTTGACTAGAATTGTTAGGAGACAGTGACTGAGGTGACCTTTAACTCAATTGTGTTATTCTAGGTACGCGTAGGATTAAACGAAAAGAGTTGCACTAGAACCTCAATGTGATGACACACGTGCGTTACTGTGAGCTGTTTTTTTTTAATGAAGGCTGAAGGTCCGAGGCACTTTAAGCCAATTAGAAATCAGTTATGTAACTGCAGCGAGGGTGTTAGTAATGTCGGGACGACATTGGTTTTGTAAGATGGAGGTAGTGTGGAGAGTTCAGACCACGATGGCGCCGGGGGCGTCTGACGTAACCGTCTGACAAGGGATTACGGCCGTCTGACCAGGTACAGCCGGCCCCATCTGACCTGGGATCACGACCGAGGGATCAAGCGCTGGGGGCGGAACTGGCCATCCATCTGACCAGGGCATTTCCCTGGTCTGTTTGTAATCTGGCGCCAATTGAGAAAAAGGGGCGGGATATAATGCGCAGTCCAGACCTGGGAGAGGAACTATGGGACAGGGAGGTATAAATAGGGTTCTTTGGACGGGACGAGAGGAAGAAGGCGGCCGGACTGAGAACTAGATAGCAGGGAGAAGTCAGAGTTGTGAGACGAGTGAAAGTGTAAGCAAGTGACAGCAAATAAAGAACACGAGTTTAATCATCAAATATATCACCGGAGTTGTTTCCTTATTGAGTACCAGATCTAGATGAAGTTTGTCAGAGAGTAAGCAAGGTTGCCCTACAATATGTATGTGTACTTACATGAGACTAAGTTATTGATGTGTCTGTGTACTCACATGAGACTAAGTCATTGATGTGTCTGTGTACTTACATGAGACGAAGTCATTGATGTGTCTGTGTACTTACATGAGACTAAGTCATTGAGGTGTCTGTGTACTTACATGAGACTAAGTCATTGATGTGTATATGTACTTACATGAGACTAAGTCATTGATGTGTATATGTACTTACATGAGACTAAGTCATTGATGTGCCTGTGTACTTAATTGAGACTAAGTCATTGATGTGTCTGTGTACTTACATGAGACTAAGTCATTGATGTGTCTGTGTACTTACATGAGACTAAGTCATTGATGTGTATGTGTACTTACATGAAACTAAGTCATTGATGTGTCTGTGTACTCATATGAGACAAGTCATTGATGTGTCTGTGTACTTACATGAGACGAAGTCATTGCTGTGTCTGTGTACTTACATGAGACTAAGTCATTGAGGTGTCTGTGTACTTACATGAGACTAAGTCATTGATGTGTATATGTACTTACATGAGACTAAGTCATTGATGTGTATATGTACTTACATGAGACGAAGTCATTGATGTGTCTGTGTACTTACATGAGACTAAGTCATTGATGTGTATGTGTACTTACATGAGACTAAGTCATTGATGTGTCTGTGTACTCACATGAGACTAAGTCATTGATGTGTCTGTGTACTTAC